CAGAAAGAAGCACTAACATTTCGTGCTTGGCCCAGATCTATCAGTCTATCCCAAGGATAGAAGACAGATCAAATGCCGGGAAGCAGCCAAACTGACGACCCCGAAGGGAGGACAACTTGACCCCATCCTGGGTTGAGAAAAGATCTGTCTGCATATACCGACTCCCACCTGTTTGCTGTCCAGCACATCAAAATCCCATCAGCGCCACAAGACGCTTCGACCTCGACTTTCCAGTCTGACAGGCCATTTTGATTCCAGTATGTCTGATCATACTGGGGATGGCAGTTGATCTTGGCATCATTGTCATGCCACCGCAAGGACTAGCGCAGTGGCCTGTGGAAGTTGATGCCGAGGGAAAGTGTATTGCAAAGAAAGAAAGTGAAAAAGAGACGAAGGTGGGAAAAGAGAGGCAATTCACAGGAAGGAGCACTAACATCTCGTGCTCGGTCCTGAGAACGCCTTGAAGTTGCCAATCTGACGACCCCGAAGGGAGGAAAGAACGACAGCTCCAGGACTTACGCGTTTCATCTTGTATCTTGATCATGCAGGGGACCTTCCCGCCATCCGAATCCACCTGTTTGCCGTTGAGCACGTCAAAACCTTATGGACCCCGACTTTTCAGTCTGACAGGCTAGACTTCGACTTTTTAACGGCAAAGAATTTGATCTAGGCATCTTAACAAAGGCCACTGTTCTTCCATAACAGTGGCCACAAGTAGCTGCCGGAAAGGGGAAGATGAAAGAAAGTGACATAAGAAAAATAATAAAAGAAAGTCGGGACACTGGACGGCCTGGTGGTGCCTAGGCAACTGACTGAAAGCATTTTTAATCAAACTAGCGAAGTTAGCTGGGCTTTACTGGTGATCGAAGGACACTAGTAGCTTGCGGAACTTACCTTTGACCTTTTTTTTTTATCATCGACGTATTCCGTTGTGGAAGGAAGCGAAAGCACGCATGGCTCGCCACAGATGTTGGAAGTAGGAAAAGTTCCGGTGGGCAAGAGGTTGGCTGGCATCTCGGACAGAGATTGTCAGGCCGTGTCTTGGATGCGTGCTTGCTTCCCAATGCCAGAAAGCGGAAGGGAGATGAAGAACAAGTGAAGGCGAAGCTGACGGGTAGAGGTAGGGTATAAAGGGGAGTCTGATAGAACAAGAAAGAAAATATGTATCCACTTCATCATCCGATCCCACAGTCAACTGAAGTCAACGGGGTTCGTCAGAAAAAGGCTGCAGCCCATTACACCACGAAGGTAAGTGTAAAATAAGATGCTTCCAACGCTCGAAGGCTAAGGCGGAGTTTAATCTAGGCGTGCAGTAAGACAGGTTAGGCACTGAATGAAGCCAGTCAGCCTCTGAAACGCCAGAGCACTAACATCTCGTGCTCTTGACTCAAAGAGTCCCCCCAGAACCACAAATCCCAACCCAGCAAGGCCCGAGAGCCAAGGGGACTGGGTTGGGGAATCCTACCTCCTGTCGAGACCCGAAGGCCAGGGCGGAGGGAATACTCCCCAGCGCCACTGCTAATCTTTTTTGTGTCCTCGAGTATTGACCATTAACCTTGGCCAACCCACAATGTAAGCCATAGAGCACGCCTGGCAACCATTGTCTTCCGACTTTGCAGTCTGTCAAAGTGATTGCTGACCATATATGGCCCAGTTGATCTCGGCGGCTAAGTAGAGAAAAACACATTGGAAAACCAACAGAGTTAGTCTCTGCCCCTAGCTGCCTGAACGGATGCGCCCACACGTAGTTGTGGAGCTTGTGTGCCATAATGACTTATGTTCAGGCCCTGTGGACATGTCAGTGTCAAGTCAGAAGTCAAAAGAGAATTGAAAAAGAAGCTTACCATGATGTGATATGTGACCGACCGTGATCAAAGTCGGCATCAGACTCGAATTGCCATCATCCATGACCATCCTAATGCCCGTTGGCCTCAGTATAGTCTCCACCACCGGTCCAGTATAATGTCATGTGCCCATGGCCACGCCACCGCTTCGGCCGCTTTCACCGCACTCGAAGGTATGCGAAGGAGGGAGGGTCAGGTGAGACCGCGGATAGAGGACGGTAGGCTCGGTGCCAAGGTAGAAGTGGAGGAGCTCATGATAAGGAAGAGCGCGAGAGCTTCAAGTCAGGTCGAGAACGTCTGACTTGGCATAAGGATAATGCTTGGAGTGTATCCCGAAGCGAAGTTCCTGCGAGAGAATACCGTCAGCCATGGAAAAGCTCACGGAGTAAAGCAGTGAAGCGGTGGGAAAACAGCGAAGGGAAAGCCTGAAAAGGGTTTAAGGGAGAATGCGAGGGGTAAGGAGACACGCAAGCATGATTTATTTACAAGAATTGAGCCGCATGCCGAACGGCCTCCAAGAAGTTCGCGGTCAAAGGAGGGAGCTCAAATGCAGTTGTACTTTATCCGCAGCGAAGCGCGCTGCTGAAATACCTGAGCGAAGTCAGTAAGGATGGCTTGAAGGTGGCCGGAGACAGGGTCAAGCTGCTCATGGGCAGAGGAGGTCGACTTACATTCAGCCATGAGGTGAAGGACAGGCACTTCGCCGACGAGAGAAGACGAGCCAGCATGAAAGCTCAGCATCGCGAAGACTCGCAGGCAACAGGCGTCGATGGCACGTTCAAAAGAAGCCGCGATGAGGTTGTGTTGCCTGCGGTCGCGGTCGGTGGGGGAGTGTTGTTTTTGGAGAGAGAATGTCGAAGGGGGAGGGCGTTGCTGTGGACGTTGTGCGGGACTAGCGAGCACGCTAGTACTGTTCTGGAAACAGTGTCATCCCTAGGGGTCGCCATGGGACGCTCTATGTGCTTGCAGGCGCATGATACGCCTCACTGATGCCTGGAGTTGTCGGTCACGGCGTCAAAAGCAATAGGAAGCTCATCTCTTAGTTACTCAAGGATATGAAACTGATTCTATGCCTCGTTGTGGCTGCATCGCGTTGATTTTCAGGGGTCTCCGCATGTTGGGAGCGGCTTGGGGGGTAGTCGGAAGGCTGGAAGGCCTGGAAGCCCCGATAGGAGCCCCGACAGGCGCCTCAGAGCCCCCAGCTCAAAACTTCGACAGCCGCGAATAGACTCACCCCGGCTTTGCGGCCAATGCAAGTCCCAACGCCTTTTTCCAACCTGTCAACAGGGATCTTTGAAGACGGCCTTTTCCCAGTGTTACGCTTTTGCCTATTTAAAACCCAATCTGAGCGGGACTCGTTCAACGCCTCCGCTATAGTGCTGCAATAACGGCCAGCAGGAGCAACTCCAATTTTACAAAGGCCAGCCAGGGACGTAGTAATATTCTATGAAGCCGACCACACATAAAAGCTAAGAAAAGCAGTGACAATAAATAGACGAATTCCTTAGCAACAATCGAAGGCCAACACCGGGATTGGCGACGACTACTGCGACATCCAGCACGCAGACTCTACCGACATCAGCCAATAGGACAAGAAGCCTAGCTTCCTGAGGATGTCTGTGGCCCCCAAACTGCACTACCGATCCGCCTCTACATCACCAGAAAGCCTTCGCAGGCGTATTCCAGACACGTGCAGCCTAATAATCCGCATTTATCCAAAAATATCTATGCTACAAGTACTGCCTTAGATACTTCGCCCACCATAAAGCCTACAATACCTTCATCAGCACCACACAGCCATCGGAGTCTATTGAAACACAACTCGAGAAGCCACAGCCTCGCAGACTATCAAGAATTGATCAAACAAGGGCGCTTTCAGAAGCCTACACAGAAAGCTGAGCAACAGAAATCCCACAACAGAAGACCTAGAGTTTGCTCTCATGATGGTCGATCGCCCTCACCATGACTTGGCCCTTAAGTCATCGCTCACAACCGACCACGACGTCCCGAATTGATGCGCGGTCTGGCCCAAGCACCCCACGTTCTCCATACGGACCAAATCATCACCAGCCGCAAGCACTCCTTCTAGTACGCTGCCAGCTACGCTCGACCAGCCACGGACGAACTTCAGCAGCAACATCCTCGCGGTTCCAACTAGAAGAGGATTACAGCCCCCAATACCATCACAGGAGGCGCTGTAACTACATGTTTCCAGCTAGGAAAAACCTGAAAGTATTCTTAGGGCCTTTCTCGACCTTCTGCTACCGCAGCTTGCACGCAATTCTGGCCCTAGAAAAGATTAGGACGAGCCGCACCTACCTCTAGGCAGTCTTAAAGTGTTAAGCTATACGAGGATAGAGAGACTCCCCCGGCAAGAGCGGACGCGTTTTCAAAGCATACTATCTACACCAAGACAAACTTATCCTTAACATGCTATCATCCGCTCGAGCTACTTCGTTTCTAGTTATGCCAAACCCTAAGGCCGCCAAAGGAGCGGCTGCTATAATGCTGCTACGTGCAACCGCTTGAGGTTTAGCTTCGAAGAACCTTTTGCTGATGTAGGCTTGTCTTATAGATTATTTTAAAAAAATTTGCCGCGAACTACTCGACAGAGCTAGTATTCGGAAGTATATACAACGACGTATACGCGTTTGATGCTGCTGGAAGAAGCTGTACGACGTAGTTTGCTGAGAGTGAATAATAAGTACTCTAAGACTGCTACGCTATGCAAGGAAGCGGAAGCCTTAATCATTATACTTTTATAGCAAACGCTATATCCTCGAGTTCTTTGTTCGCATGTCTAGAAGCAGAAGTGGTAGTATGCGGGCGCATAAAAAGTTGTGGCGAGCTGGTGGGCTGGTAGCTGCCTGCTAGGGTATTAACGAGGGAGGAAAGCCAGTATTATACTCTCGAGAAGGCGTGATAAAGCGTAGATAGAGAACAGGGGATAATGTTCAGAGGGGCAAACACTGGAAATTGAAAAGGCTAAAAGGACAAAGAACTAGATAACGTGGGGTCATGCCCCTTTGATCCTTTGATTTTTGATCCTTTATTACTTTAAGTATTGTAGTATTGCGACAGACGTGCTGTGTTGCGCTTACATCGGGAAAACAAGTTGCTTGTAACCATAAAAAGCAAAGAGCGCGCGCGGCGCACCTTTTCCTCAAGGCCGCCAAGCTAAATAAACCCTCTCCGGAGCCGGCAGACTGCAGCATTAGTCTAAGCAAAACAATTATACATTTCTCAAAGCGGCAGACTGTAAGCAAGACCGATCACCATGACGGGAAAAGCAGGAGAAAGAGAACAAACTTTTATTAAACGTCGACCGTCCACCGCAAACTTCGGCTTCCGTCCTCGATTAAAACCCCTAAACCCCATATCCTCCAACTCTCTAAAAATCTCAAAAACCCGAACACGAAAACATTCGATCCTCAACAAATTCCAATACAAAAGAACACCCACCCCAAAATTAAACAATCACACATCTGCAACCCCAACGCCAAACAACACAGTCCTCCCCCTCAACACCAACCTCTACATATACCTCCGCCTCCTGACCCTGCCCTTCTTTGCTGACGGCTGCTGCTGTCCGCGAAGGCGGGCACGGTCAGATGACGGAGGTACTTGTAGAGGTCGATGTTGAGGCGAATGACGCGGCGGAGGTGGGGAAAGAGTGCAAGCTTCAGGTGGAAGAAGGAGCACGCGTGAGGCGGCAGGCAAATGCGGGAGGAAGTTTCTTAGACTTAGAGTTAAGCGTGGTGTGAACGCTAACGGATAAGGGCTATGTAAATGAGTCAGTCTATCAAAGCTGTGTGTTGGATTGAATGGTTGAAACCGTGCGAGTGAAGAGAGAACGCGGCTTGATTGTAAATGAGTAGCTAGTAGCGAGCTTTATATACATGAAGAGGCAGAGCAGTCATGTGCTCGCTAGTAGAAAGTAGCAGGGGATAGCAGGGTGTTGAAACAACGAAAAAGTAAAGTGAATATAGAGGATAATGCATGAAGAAATATGGCCTGATAGTCTAACACTGTGGTTAGGAAAAAAGAGAAGAAGAAGGCGACTTACAGGTTGATCCATGGTGTCGGTGGTCTGCGGGTCTGTAGAAGAGGTCGTTGACGGGGGCGGTGGTGGTGGTAGAAGCGGAAGTGGTGGTGGTGGTGTTGGTGGTGGTGGCAGGAGCGGCGTCGGTGGTTGTGGTGGTGCCGGCACCGGAGCCACCATGGAGCAGGAGCAGGAGCAGGAACGGTAGGAGCGGGAGCCAGAGCGGGCTCCATGATGACGGCGTCGGCGACATCGGTGGTATTGGTGGTGTTGGTGGTGCTGGCACCGGAGCCGCTGTTAGAAGCAGCATCAGGAGCAGCCAGCAGGAGGGGGGGGCAGCAGCAGGGGCAGCGGTGATGGCGACGGCGCGGTCGCGGCGGGCTCTCGCGGCCTCACCCGCGTTGCCTATGAGGGACTGGAGAGGGAAGGCGACGCCCTCGACCATGGAGTTGGCGACGGCGTCGGCGGCTGCGGGAGCAGAGGCCGACGCCGAGGCCGAGGAGGAGGTGGAGGAGGAGGAGGATGAAGCGCGGGAGCTGCTGTTGCTGCCGCTGGCGCTGTTGTTGGCGCTGTTGTTGGCACTGTTGTTAGCGCTGTTGTTGTCGCTGTCGCTGTTGCTGTTGCTGCTGCTCGAGGCAACAAAGAACGCGAGAGGGGGGAAGACTGGGGCGGCCGCGCTGATGGCGACGATGGCGGAGGCGGCGAAGGCGCCAGAGGCGGAGGAGGAGGAGGAAGAGGAGGAGGAGCCAGAGGTGGAGGAAGCAATTATGGTAGCTTCATCCTTGAGAGATGGTTTTTGGCTGTTTGTCTGTCTGTTTGTCCGTTCGCGGACATGGTCTGTAAGGAGACGGGAGGGGTGATGGTCGGCGCCGGCCGCAGACAAGAAGTTGACGGTGAAGTAGATACCGTCGGCGACAGGGATGACCGTGATGTGGAACGTCTCCGGGATGAAAATGATGACCGCGTCGAAGAGGGCGGAGTTGTAGAATATGGGTTCGACGGGCACGGCAGTCAGAGAGTATCCGAGGTAGAAGATTGACGGCCGCATTTGGTGTTCAAGTGATTGTCCGCGGACTTTGTTGAATTCCTTGAGTTCCTTGATACGCTTGTTGAATTCCCTGGATTCCTTGTAGTGTGAATAGTCGGGAGAAGGAGAGAATGTCGCATGGGATCGGTTTGTATGTACTGAGGAGTGTCGACTTGTCGCTGGAGACTGATGAGTTGCTTGGAAAACAGCGACGGAGAGCGTTCCCTCATTGTCTTTTGGAGAGCTCGCAGTGTGTATCGACTGGCCTCAGCCAGGCACCGACAAACTCGAAGAAACTAAGTTCCGCTTCCGTCAGTTTCTGACTGCTATCTATTCGGGCTTGCCGCTCCAGGATGTGTCAACTTACTGCGTATCACAAAGAAGGATGCTCTTTCCGCTTTGCAAGAACTAGCCCGCAAGGAAGAGAATCTGACGGCAACTCCACGTGTAGAGAACTTGAGTTTCTTGATGTGCATATTCTCGTATATTCCAACAGTTGTGCCGTATTCGTCTTCTCTAAGCAGCTGGTGGTGTGGTGATGAGCTTCAAGGTAATCTCCCTTCGTCGACCAGAGAGTGAATGAAAGAGAGTAAAAGAGAAATTGATGATGGAAGGTCGAAGGTGTAAAATGGATGATGAAAGGCCGATGTCGTAGAAATTGATGGTGAAGGTGTTAAGAAGGTGGTGCAATGCAGAGCAGACCGATGAGTTGGACCGGGATGACGTGGAGCGAGGCTGGCGGCGTCACCGGATTGTCGAATGGCCAGCGGCCTAAGAGGGGGAAGGATTCATTACTATGCTACGGATGGATGTACCCAAAGCTCGAGCTGTGGCAAGTGCAAATCAGAGCAAGCAAATGAAGTCCCTCGCAACAAGTGTTCCCATGTCTTCCAAGCTCTTTTATCTTTGTTCCCGTGTGAACGTAACCCCATGATTGACGCTTCCCGATGCTGATGGTGTGGTGAAGTTCCGAAGAGAAGTCATGATCGTTGAGAGACCGAAAAGAATTTGCGGTTGTGAAGTAACCGCTGAGCCCATCAAAGGCAGGAACCGCTATCGTAGACTCGTGAGGAAAAGACAAAGAAAAAAGCTCAGAATGTGACTGTCAAAAAAAAAAAAAAAAGGAAGTCATGTCAGGTCGCGTCCATGTTAGCAACGGTGAAAAGAGCTTGGAGGAAGGGTAAGAGAAAAGAAAGGTCAAGTCATCCAACGTGTGGTCGTCAGCGTGCGACAAGACATTGCGGCTGCGCCTCCGAGACAACTTCACCAGCTGACGTGTGAGGTTGCAGCAATGCAACCATGAGCCAAGCAAACTCAAAGAAGATGAGTATCCAGGACAGGCCGGGCAGATGTAGTCGCAGGCTGGAAAAGCCTCGCAGTCCTTCAGCGTGTGCTCCTACGGTCTTGACAGAAAGCCGGAGCCCATTTGTAGCAATCAGGGAACTGATATGGGTGATGGAACTTGTCCCAGCAACGGTCGCAGTTTGGGTAGGGGTCCAGCGCCTACACACCAGTTAGCGAATCCGGACAGCAATCTAGGAATTGCCAATAAGCTTACCGTGACGAGCATGTACATAAAGCCGTTGAGGGTGTAAGTCTGCACCCGAATCGTCAAATGTGGAACGTGGTAGTACTTATTTGTGTAAGTTCCGTTCGCAATGTTTCGCACCCTCTGTTTCATTGAGAAGTCAGCGAAGATTCAAGCAAGAGTGAAGATGGAAGCTTACTACGATCCTTAAGACCTGGCGAATGACAGGATTCCGATCGGGTCCCGGCATGTTGGAGGTGTGTAGGACTAATTTAAGTGTTGGGGTGTGAGGAAGGTTGGTTGGTGAGGTGGGTTGCGAAGAAGTTGTTGGATGAAGGAGGAAGAAGGGAGGAAGAAGGAAGGATGAACTTAAGGAAGGCCACCTATCGCCAAACCTACAAGCGAGAGAACCTGACCGGTAATTAGCCGGCCCATGCACTGTACCCCATCACTACGCAGTATGACGCAAGTCTACAGTGCCGACTGCACGTGGTCGACTATCTAGCAAGGGCCAAGGGCCCAAATCCACGAATCCGTAACGCCCACCACGAGATTCTTCGCCCTCCCCCTCGCCAGGAGGCACAACAGACTTTCCTACAAGTGATGGAACCCGTACTGTCTCTACTTGGGGCATCCTATCGCGCGGCAAGTGGGCTTCTACTTCTTCAGCATAACCGGAGGCCTCCCATTGAGCCCACGACTCTCGCTGCTGAGGGGTCTTTCTCCTCCATGCACCCCTTGCAACTTCTAAGACACAGGGCCACGTTCAATACCCGCCAGAAGACGAGAAGGACCAATGCAAAGCATACTACGGCAGTATCATTCCATGTTGGCTTCATCGCTAGCAAGCCCAGCGCGGACATCACCATTCCAATACCCCCCACCGGGCTACTCTCTCGCCCTCGTTATACAAAACAGTACTACTGGCAGCATATGAGTCTTTGCAAGAGTACATAGGAAAGCCAACAACGCCATTACAGGAAGAGGATCAAGACACTATGGTTCAATGGCGACAACAAAGAGAGAAACAGTCTCAGCTCCCCAAACGGCGCAAACAGAACCACACAAAGACATTGTCCCACCTCTGCAAAACCAACAAAGACAACGCCTTCAACAATGCCCTTATGCAGAAACGCCGCCAATACTTCATGCCCACCAGAGCCACCAAAAGTCACTACCACCTCTCCTCCCACCATCTTCGGCCTTCGCACCACCGAAGCATCCCCCAAAGGCACAAAGCCATCAGCTCGAGCTAGCCACGGCCTACCAACTACGCATACAAAATCCTCGCAGATCCCACTTTCGAACAACGCAACGCAAAATGGGATTTTCCGAGACTGTCGGCATGGGCCCCCCCGCAGCTGTTCCCTGGACCACGGTTTTCAGAGCTGTGGCCAAAGCCGAGAAGCTGGCGACTGTGGCTGATGGTACTGCGCGCGAAAGGCTGCTTGTGCTTCTTCGTGGGGCGGAGGCTGGGTGCGGGACTGTGGTTGGCCAGTGAGCTGGGAGTTTGGCTTCGAAGGCGGTGGTTGTTGAGAGGATGTTGCAGAAGTGGACTCTCTTTACTCTTAGGTGGTATTCGGTGTCATGCTTTGTATTTTCTGTGATTTTGTCTGGTTAGCTTAGTTTGGGCAAGACTGTGCTCGCATCTGCTGCCACTCAATGGACATGACATCACTAAAACCTCTATTCCTAAACTCACGTCTAATCCCTTCTGTGCAGACGTCGGATAGTCAACCTAGCTGTCATCCTCGTTACTAAACCCTCTCAACACCGACAAGCGCACGCGGCAGCGGCACAAGAAGCACACACACGAACACCGTAACATCTAGACTTGGCTCCGAGCGCAAAAAAACGGGCGGCGAGGAAGCCATTAGCAAGAACCGCAAGCTGGGGAAGAGCAAAGGGAGATCCCGAAGCCCTCCAAGGTCACCATGAGCAACGATATCGCTCGAGGCGCTGACAGGGCGGCTTGGGCCGGCGGCGTCATTGGCGCAGAAGCTTCAGAGGCGCAGGCAGTAGAGAATGGCGCGCGGGTAGAGCTGGGTCGCTGGTGCCTGCCGCGGCATGGCTATGGCGGAGACTAAGAAATACTGAATGGAGCTGTTGCTGCTGGAGAGGACGTCTTGTCTTTGTGTTTGGTTGATTAGTTGGGGATGGTGTGGTTGGTCTCGGCTGGTAGGGGAGGAAACGAGTGGCGGAGCGGCACCGCGCTCGAGTTTTGGATTCGAGGTCGGTGCCGGAAAGTTCATGGGGGAGGGAAGCATTTGCGACGGTGCTGAGCTACCCTACGTACGCGGCTGCTAGTAACGCTTGAGCTTAGATTATGTTTCGAGATGAAATTCTTGGGAGAGACAAAGAAATATGTGGAATAAGACAGTTATTTGAAACTTGGAGGAGCTGAGGTGGCAGGACCACGAGTTGAAGAAACATGGAAAACACCTTCTGTAGCGCGATTGCTTCCCCTCTTCTTGTTGCTCCCAAATCGCAATCATGCTCTTGAGTCTTCAATCCAAGAGTCTTACCATGTCTCATTCGGGCCCAGACGCGGACTGCGAAATCTTATCCGGTCTCGCCCCAATCCTGCTCCAGCGAGAGTACCAGGCGACTGGAAAATAGTCAAGCAGGATCGTTCAATTCTTCTTCCTTGCTCACCCTGAAAGGTTGGAGCCAAACTCCCGTCACAAAGAAATGGACTGATGATGGAAGAGAGCGGAGATGATCGACTGCGGGCACCGACATGTGCGGAATGACCTAGGTCCCCAGATGTAGAGCACATTGAAGATGGATGGGTTGCTCCGAAGGATCAGGTCTACAAGAGCAATCCTAAGTTCGAACGAAGATGGCTCTATGCAAATCCTTCAGAAGGTATTGGGCCGGCTCGAGCTAATGGTCATGTTTGCGATGTCTGGAGATTGCCGCCTGGGATTCAGACAGCCTTTAGTGCGACGGGTCGGGCACCCAGAAACTGGGCAGCCGAAAGTGGGTGGGGCAGCTCGTGTCGGAAGCTACGGGAGAGCGGTAATGGCTTAGAAGAGTAGGTTTGGAGGAAGGCTGGCGGCAATGGCGAATAGCGATGGTGGTGAACTTGTGGTCGACTGTAGGGAGAGGGACAAGGAAGGACAGTGGAGAACCGGGACAGTATCGCTGGCATTCGTTCCAGTACTGTCTTGTCATGAGTAGATTTCCCGCCGCATGAGTGGGTGCGGAAGTACTTGCGATCATTAGTCATTACCCACATCTTGTTGTTGAGGGCAGAATGGCTTGGACGATTGCGACCGTATGCGCTTGTGTGTTGCTTCGTGTGAAGCTACTACAGCGGGTGGGAGGCATGGGTTTCGTGTCGTGATAAAAAGGGACAAGCAAGGATCGTTGAAGGACCTCGATGGGAGAGTGGCCCAGCTGATAGCAAAAGTAGTTCTTGGGCCCGAGTAAGCTCTGGGAGGCGACACACCGCGCAGTGGTGGCTAAACGGGGAGTCATAAGAACCAAATAAAAATATTAACAGCCAGCCCACGACGAGAATCGAACACCGGCCCACCCACCTCTACGAGTTTCCAAAAACGGCAAAAAAAACGGGAGTTCTCTTTGATTAAGCGTGTCATCCTTAGTGCAGGGGCCATGCTAATCTTCTCTGTATCGTTTCAAATTGACCAAGTGTCCCTGGGGGGTGAGCCCCAGGGACGAGATAAAGTCTCGCTGTTTAAAATTATATGGCTCAGGTGGCACTGCCTCCGCGGGAGTGGGCGGAGGCTCGGAGCCTCCCTAAGAGGCGCGGCCCCTGCAACAGCCCACAATCCCCTCGTAACTATTAGTTGGATCTCCTGGCCGCGACAACCTCACACTCTTGCCTCTATCTTGCCAAGGTTACCAAGTTGCCTGCCCACTACGCTACCAGCCTCGCCAGTGCACTCGATTCCTCCGCCGACGCATTCATATCGGCGCGAAACAAGTCCTCTCTCCCTTTCGTGAGTTGCCCCTTCTCTTGGCCAACCAACCCTACTAAGAAACGACCTCGAGCAAACCCACCAGAGCCTCAACTACGCGGATTCATCCCACCGCATAGGACGAACTCACTAGAAGCGCAACTACAATTCGCGGAAGGGCCTGAACACTCAACCACCCGATACTTATTGCTATCCTACTAACAGAACATCAAACATCCAGTACAAAGAAACAAAGAAACAGCCCTCCTTCGCACAGACCTATGCTACAACCTTGCCGTCGCCGCTTGAAACAGCTTTGTGCTCCGCTTTTGTGAGGGGACATTTCTCGTGTTCAGAGTATACATGTGTGTCTTCCTCTTCGAGGCTAGCTACGAGGGTCATGCTGCGTCTATAGAGTTCCACGTAATGGGCGCGCAAGAAGAAGCTAGATGTTGATATAGTTGTTTTAGCTCTTATAACATCTAGTTTAACGCTATAGGACTGGTCAGGGATCCCTTGGTTGAGCTTGCTCGCTATAGGTGTACCTGAAGCTGCAATTTTAGTCTCTCGAGCTCTTCCATGTCGGCTCTATATCTTATTATTATTACTCTTGTGAGGTCCTCTAGGTCAGTTATATCAATGCCTGTATTTATTCCTCAAAATCTCGGGCACTTTATGGTATGCCTGCACAATGCCACGTGCAACTATGCTGCAGAGGTGCGAAGATAATTCTGAATCTAAATAATCGTTCGTTGGTACGACCTATATTCAGTTGTTCTTTAGCACATTTCTTTCTTCAACAATTACGTAAAGCCTCACTTCCCTGTAAGTAGCATAGTATCCGACTTCTTCAATAGTTCGAGATTTTATTTGTTTCTCTACTAGGTGTAACCACATACTTCTCACCACGTGCAGCAGGCAAGCTGCAGCAAACACAAACAGGTCTCTCAGAAAGTTCCTTTATCCATACTGGATATAAATATCCAGTAAGTCACTTATTAGATAGCAAGACTCAATCACTTTCCGTTCTCTAGATCAAATAGATTTCGTGAAAGAATAGTACGGGGTATCGGTTACCATCAAACAAATCATAGTATATGCCCAGTAAGAACTCCAATAATTTATTTTTATTTGATATTTTTTAAAGATCGACTAAGGTATTACAAACCAAGACTATTTTACGTCGTAAAAGCTTCAAAGCTAAATAAAAAAGATGACGATGCCCTACAATAATAGCTATACTGAGGGAATGGCGCCAGGCCTTTACCGTAGGGACGGGACAAGACTCCTCCGCCCTTTACCCCCTCTATTTTAACAGCAAAGGGCCAACACCAATATGTTAAATGCTAAGCGAGGCACCACTAATAAAGTCTCACCCACGACCGTAACCTTTCCATCTTTCATCATCCGCCGTCTCAAAAAGTCCAACCGAATCTCCAACATCAACAGCTCCGGCCAAACTCAAGCCACTCCAAACAACCATGGCGAGCCATAACAGCATCTCCGACAACAACACCACTAACCCCGCACTGCCCAACGTCCTCAGAGGCACCCTCGTCGGCCTTTGTGAGCACTACATCGAGCTCAGCAAGCAATGGCGGAACATCGGCGCGCGGTACCACCACCTAACCCTCTCGGCGCGCACATCCAACGCCACCACTGAATCCGAGCGCGCGATGCTCGCCCTCATCAGCAAGCACTTCTGTCCGAGCGACAGCGACATCGCCGTAGCGCGCACGCTTGAGCACGACAATCCCGAGATTTGGCGCGCCCTGAACGACACCGAGGACCTCTTCCCGCGTGACCTTGTGCGTATGACGGCCACCGTGATGCAAGAAGCCAAGGCGCGCATCGTCGCGCTGCTGCGGATGCTGGAACAGATGCAGGAGTGCTACGACGCCATTGCCGGGGCTGTTGACGCGTTGCTCCTCGTGCCTGACTCTGTGCACCCGCTTAAGGAGCTCCCGGAGCACGAGCGCGAAGAGATGAGGCGCCTCATGCGCCGCTGGGCGTACACGCTGCCAGAGATGCGTAGACAGCTTGATGGGGCTGCGGATGGTGAGGAGCAGGAGGCGCTGTTGAAGAAGCTGGGTAGTCGCTTTTTCAGTTTGGAGGAGATGGAGGGCTTGGAGATTCTACGCGCTACGGGGAGGCACGATTTGAGTGCTGGTCAGAAGCATAATGTGCGCGTCTTCTTTACGGGGTTTGCGGAGCCGCGGATCCTTGAGTCGTGACGGGTGTCAGCGAGGAAGTGAGACCGGCTTGGAAAGGCCTGAAGGTTCTACGGCCTTGTACGGCACTACCTTTCTCTTGGATGAACGTCGACATCACGGATTTTTTGCTCACTGGCATGCACGGCATATCTCTTACACCCTGGGATACAATGACGTTCGGTCCACCTTCATGTACACAGTACAAAGCCCACAATACCGGACCAACACTTCAAAGTACACGAGCTCCGGACAAGTCTGCCACCCTCATGATTCTTCTTTCAACTTCTCCTTGGCTCTAAAAACTTCTTTCTTTCCTTTGTTTCTTTCTTTCGGCTTTCACCGGTTTCCTTCCGCCAGTTCATCGCGCCCTAGAGCGCTGAAAGGACCTGGAGAAACGTCATTGGTCATTGTTATGGACCAGGATCGGAGGGTAGCCGGGTAGCAGTTTGGTAGAGCCTCTTCACTCTTGGCTTGATAGGATTGATCAACTTTACATATCACTACAACATCGAACGACGGTTGCATATTGATCGTGCCTTGATTGACCGTCTACTTCTTCATCAAGACAATGTTTCTTACATTAATTACCCTTTTAAACTGCGTTACCCCCATAACAGATGCAAAAGCTCAGTCACGCCCCATTCCCTCCCGCTCCGTCTCACCCCACAAGCCATATCATCACAGTGCCAAATCTCCAGTCTCGACCCATGACCAAACAGTCTATGCGATATACAGCGTATCCCTGCATCCCTGCCATCACCCACCTCCGAACCACCTCATCCACACAAGAAGAAGCACTAACTACATCCCTAACCTTCCCTCTACACTCCCCCACACGACAGGCGCGGTCGAGGACGGGGCAGGGGGCAAGAAAACGCGCACCTTCGCGCTGCGAGTAGATATAGTAGCGTTTCCCGCGCCGTGAGGAAGCGCAGCCGCAGTGGTGATGCTGGCGCTGGGGGCGTTGGTGATGGCACTTTAGGTGCGGTCGAGAGTAAGGTAGGGCTTCGCAAGATGGTGCGCTGGCGGCGGCGTGGGGTGAGCTTCTTGAAGAGCGCGAGGAGTGTATTGTAGAGGGCTATGGTGTAGTGTAAGGGGTTGAGGGTTTGGTAATATGTGTGGGTTGTAGAGAATCTTGTGGTTGTATGGAAATAAGAGATCGTAGACCTAAATGAGGCCGACACGCCTATGTTAACTATTTACTGCAGCCCGCGCCAAGCCCACACCGCACACAAACCCGCGTCCCCCGCCTCCTCCCGCACAACACCCACGTCCCCTTCACACCACCAACACCAACAGCGCCAACAACAACCACCCCACAATGCCTCCCCCCAGTAGCCCGCCACCGCGCTCGCCCCCGCCCTCGCCCTCGCACGTCGCCGTGCGCCTCCGCCTCGACGCCCACGCGCCCCCCATGGCCGTGAGCTTCCGCCCAAAGACCCCGCGCGGCAAGATCGCGTCCCAAGACCGCAAGCAGCTGTACCTGTGCGCGAACCGGCCGGCTGAAGACAAGCGCCTGGAGCCGAAGCCGATGCGCGTATCGGCGTACCCCGCGCCCGCGGACGGAGACACCGACACCGCCGCGGCGGGACTGAAGGCCGTTTTGGACGCGTCGAGGGATGGGACGGGCAGGAAGCTGACTAAGGATGAGATGCAGCAGCTGCAGGTGCGTATGCTGATTGGGATTACTTTTTTTTTTTTTTTTGGTTGTTGGATGTTATGGGTATGGGGATTGATGCTAATGTGATACGGATACAGATGGTCTCCACCAAGCCCTCCAAAGTCGACCTCAACGAGACGTCGCTCGCCCACCTCAAGACCCGGCACAGGCGCCTCATCTTCCCGCTCAGCCGCGTCAGCTCCGCCACCTACGACGCGCGCCAGGTCGTGCACCCCGCGAGCGCAGGCACCGGCAGCACAGCGGCCCTCCGGCGCAGCGAGGCCCCGTCCAGCATCGCCTTCCTCGAAGCCTCGCTGGCGGCCCATCAGGGCCCGTCGGGTGGGCTTGGCCCGTCCCACGCGCAGAGCCCGCCGACTACCTTCGACGGGATGCCGTTCTTAGAGGCAGACGAGGTGGCGAAGAGGAAGGAGCAGGAGAGGGAAAGGGAGAGGCTGGCGAAGGAGCGGAGGGAAAGGAGGGAGAGGAAGCGCTTTGAGCGCACTTTTGAGTTGTAGGTGGGGTGCGGCGGCGGTGCCCGCTGTTTGGGTTGGGGTACGGTTGGGGAATGGCAGCGGTTGGGATTACAGGGGGGTTAGGGAGGGGTTTGGTTGCTTGAAGGCAGAGTAGAGCGGATGGTCGGGTGCGGGTGTATGCAGCAATGAATGGTTTCTCTTTATGCGTAGGCGGACCTGTTAAGCTATGTGCTGAATACTTCCCCTGTAGTTCCGAAGCAAACAGCAGCATCTACGCATACTAAATAACATAAACAGCTAAACCGCCCCTAACTATATTAAACAACTCTCTTAACACCCTGTTCCAAATCCATCCATGCAGTCGCAACAAAATAACTCCTTTATCCCCGAAGCGCTTTCCGCATCCCTAGCTAGCGGACAGAAAAATTCCTTTATAACTTTAGAAAGTAAGACCATCCCCCGTCTTCGGACACATGGTTAATTTATAACGATATAGAGAAGATTAATATGGCCTCTGCACTAAGGATGACACGCCTTTTAAAGAGAACACCCGTTTTTTGCCGTTTTACTATTTTTGGAATACTCATGGGGGGGGGTGCGGTGTTCGATACTAGGTACTGTCAGGTTTTTTTTTTTTTTTTTTTTGTTTCGCCTTATTTGTCGGTCTGGCGAAACCAACCCTCTCCATACAAGGCCACCACAAATGCGCAGCCGGCAAGGCGCAGCCGGTGCAGAAAGAAAAGACAACAACGCTCTTTAATCGTCTTACTCGCAAATAAAACAATTGAAAGATAATAGTACCAATAATAAACTGAGAAACTTAATTGCTTATAGGCTTATTTGCTAGGTGCGGGGGTTGGGCATCTGTCTCCCGAAAGCTCTGCTCACTAAGACAGCTTTCACGGAAGTGCTCGGAATACAGTAAAAAGGGCCATTTTAAAGCCCTAAGAGGGTGTGATCACAAACTATCAAGCAGTAATAACTTTTGTCATCGCCAAAAGGTTGAAGAGGTTATAGGAGAGTAGTTGCTGCCCTTTCTTTTTTCGCTCCGCTAATCAAACCGCTTGCCTTTTCCAGAACCATCAAGATACCGCACCAAAATCCCAGGGCGCTGTCGCAATAGTCCCACCAAGCCTCTACTTTAAACGAAAGCCTTCCCAGGAGTAGCCACGCCGCCGAAACCCATCACTCCTCTTCCATCGCAACATCGAAATCTATCTCATGATCCCCACCAGCAGCAACAATCTCCTCCAGCTCTTCGGTATCCAACTCCTCAATCTTAAATTCGCCCTCACCATAACCATCACCATAACAATCCATACCAACATCTCCACCCTCATCCCCATCCTCACTCTCACTCCAAACCAACCTCGCAATCGCGGCCTCAACAAGCTCCCTCTTCTCCTCAGCCGTAGTCCCGTCACTGAGTGCCCTCTCCAGCAGCATCACAGCCCAGTGCTCGTCCTCATGCAGCGGGCCTCTCGCGCGCAGCATCCACGGGTTTGCGCGGCCGTAGGCGTTCATCGCGACAACGCGCGCGGGGCTCTCGACGCGCAGGAGGGTCAGTGCGTCCGTTACGGCTTGGGCGAAGGCGTCTGCGTTGATGGTTGCCGTCTCGAGGAGCGAGAGCAGGTGCTCGTGGCCGAGGAGGCGGAATGCTGTGCGTGGTTTGTGTTGGAGATGTGGGAGTGGCGTGGTTGGCGTGGTTGGCGTCGGCGACGCGGTGACGCCCGCTGTAGTGTCTTGGGCTGCAGTGCCGTCTTCGTTCGTAGGGCCGTCTTCGTCCGTCACGACGGCTGAGGACGTGCTGGGTTCTTGGTTCGCCGGTCCGTCTTGGTTTGCCGTGGCGTCCTGGACATCAGCGGGCTCAGTGATCGCTGCGACATGACGCGAGATGCGGAGTGCGGAGCGCGGCGGCAGTACGGTGCGGTGGTCGGGAGGCTCGAATGGGGTGGTGGGCTCGCCGATGGGGTTGTAGAGCGTGCTGGCCAGGAGGGGATGGATTGTGCTCGGGTTGACGAAAGGTGGTGGGGTCGCGGAGCGGAGGTTGAGCGGCGGTGTTGGCGTGCGTCGGCGATTCAAGCTTAGAGAGAGTGGCGGCTTCAGTGAGCCTGTCATCGAGCGCGTCTTGCGCCCAGTGGTCGGGGTAGGCGGGCGCTTTGAATTTTGCATTGTGATTTTTGGCAATCCTTGGTTTTGATGGGTGTTTGGAGTTCGTTGTTTGGGTTGCGAAGGATGTGGAGAGAACGGGTGCGGGACTTCGGGTGATTTTCCTTTTCTAGGTGGTGGGGCTTAGTGTTAACAGACGGTGAATGCTTTGTGTGAATGATACCTTGCGTGATTTCAAAAGCTCCAACCTGTGAGAACAAAGCGGCGTGGCTCGTTTGAGTCGTTTGTGAAGCTTCCAGTCGGCAACTGAATGTCTACACGTCCGATTGAGATTGCTCCCATCAGTGTGTTTCTGGGACAGTGCTCCTGTGAGCGGTATGGTGGCCCTCGAGGATGAAGGAAAGATCCCGGGGATAGTTGTTGTCTTTTGTCCGATTTATTGCGAGCTGCGCCTCGCTCCTTCACAAAGATGAGTGCGACGTTCTCGAGGTCCTCCTTCCGTTGCCTGTTGACTCGGTATTCGACTATTTAAGCTCAAGTGAGGACGACACTCGTCGCAAGTAGGGCGTCTCTCTTCTTGAGGTTTCCGGAACGCCGCCTACGGAGAATTGATGACCAATCCCGTTCAAAACGCCGTGTTTATTGCTTTACACAGCGGTAGTTGCGATAACAAGCCTTGTTGTGGGGTGGAAGTCGGTTTCTACAACTTCGGTCTGAGAGTGTTGGTTCTGAGCGCGCTGGGACCGGCCCGGCTGGTCCTGTTGCTGCAGGTTATGAATCGCGGGGCTCTGGCGATGCTGCGTCTGAATGGGCTGGGACTGGACGGGATGGAGTCAAATGGGCTGGTTCTGATGAAGGTGGTTCTGGCGTGCCTGCATGTTTCCCAGCTCCGCACGGTGATCAACAGTCTGCGCAAACCGCATCATCACCCTGTCTTGGGCGCGCATCTCATCCTGCAAAGTTGTCGTAGACTCGAGTCTCAACAACCTTGTCGCAGGCCTCCTGGGGATCCTTGTACCGCTGGTAGGGATCCGCGATATCTGATCGAAGCCGCTGATTCGAATGGTCTGGATTTGCTGAAGAGTTTCTGTAGGCGTGCTCTCTCAGGAGTCAGGACATATTGGCTTCTCCCAGCACCGCCCAATAAATCCACACTTACCCTACTATTACCCTGTCTTGGGCGCGCATCTCATCCTGCAAGGTCGTCGCAGTCTAGAGTCTCGACGACCTTGCCGTAGCCATCCTGATCCCTGAAGATCCTTGAACTGTTGGTTAACTTGTTCGTACCTAACCACTGCTCTGTCAAGCTCGCGGCGGAGGTGAGTGTTCTCAATGCGAAGACGGAATTTCGCGGTCGCGCTGGCTCACTGTGGTCATGATTCGTGGTTAGTGAGCTGATACATGTAAGGAGATAGTGATTTGGGGTGTGACGGACCTCCGTTATTGGCGGGTTTGCTCATGGGCGCCAGGTTCTTTGTCCAGAGAGTGCATTCGGGTTGTTCATGTTGGATCCGATTGTAAAGTGCGTCTTCCGGATCGGAAGTTGATGTCTTCAGCGTGGAGTAGGCAGGTATCTGCGCAAGTATGAGAAAATATTCGGGGCAAGGTGAAGTGGTGTGGCAGAGCGACGACTGCCTGCCACCGGCCAATATGAATGTTCGTCGCTGTAGAGGGCTCGCGGTCAGCTTCTCTCCTGCAAGACAGTAGGCATCTCTCCAACCTTTCGCGACTAGTAAGATGGTAAGGAAGTTCGGTAGCTCTTCGCTTTTGTGGTGAGAGGCATGTGGTGTCGCTGAAGCTGTCACCGGCACCGGCATCGGCAGGCTATGACGTAAATGTGGACGAGGCTGAGGGTGTAGAGAAGGCCGCTGACAAGAGGCAATGAATTTGTTTCTGAGAGCACGCAAGAATAAGGGTTATTTTCGCCTGCACGGTGTACGCTCTTCATGTTTTGTATGTGAATTTCTCTCCATCTCGAGATCGTCATGAATGGAGTAGACCTTGACCCCGTTGCTGTCAATGGATTGTGAGACAGAGAAACGTCATCTCAGCGGCCATTCGAGAGGCTCAGGGAGGTAGTGATCCAGCTGATGCTGCTAGACATAGGGATCGATTATCATCCTGCAAAGCTCTCAAGCGCCACTGGCAGCCTGCAACGACATTAGTAGCCAGACAGGCCCCAATGCCGCCATCCAGCGCCGTCCCAACCTTCCACCACCTTCCACAATGACATCACACGCTCGCTTAGCCGCCCCCAGCGCACACACGGACCCTCCTTGTGGGTATATAAACGCTCCCACCTCCCGCCCTCCATCTCTTCTTTTTCTCTTCAGCTCTCTTTTGCCTTTTGGCTGAAATCTAAATGCAGTGATGTTCTCTGGCAACGTAGTTGTTGCCAGGCGGCCTACGGGCCGCGTCGTGACTACTCAGTTTTTGGAACCTGAGCGGTGCCTGCAACGCTTTTTGCTGCGCAGGCACTGCCACCGTGTCGCCCGTATTGCACTGTTTCGGGCTGACGCAACCTTTGAGGGCTTTGCCCTGGCTTTTCATTGAGCTTTCCGCTTTATGCGGGATCTTGAGGATGAGCGGCTTTTTTGGCGGTTCTGGTGGACTTGGTGGAGGTCCTGGGCATGGGAAGTTTTGATTTGAAACGGATTGAGATCGTTATGTTATTTAGCAGTGGAAGAGCCGCTCCCCTAGTGGCAGCGGCAGCCCAGAGCTTAGGCTGTTCTTAATGGCCTCGCCTTGTTACCCACGTGCCTTCCACTGTCATGAGCATTTGCAAGCTCGTCATAGTGATTTGGTTACCTGTACGCCGCCGTTCTTAGAGCGCAGCGAGCTTAAACCCCGCGAAATCCTACCCTAAAATCACCAATCACTATAGGTAACCTCACTCATGCCTTGATCCTCTCGATCACACTGTATAGCAGAATGAGTGGGTAAGCCGACCGATATCCGCAGAGGAGCCGCTTGAAGCACTCGTACTAAGTCCCTCCGTCCGCGTCTGCAACTAGAGGAATTCTCACAGGCGATAGTTGGTTTCGCTGGATGACGAGGCTTGGGGCTTGGAGCTGTGGGTGCTGCCGCGGTTCTAGAGATGGTCGCTGAATTGCTGGGGCGCTGCGTGCTTCGCCGCGTGTTGAGTAACAAGGGATAGGAGGCGGAGGGATCAGCTAGTACATTAGTATGTCGAGGGATGGATGCTACACTGCTACGCAGATGGTATGTAGATATTTTCCTGCAAAGACTCTATGACGTATAGGTTGGTCGGTGGGAACGAACGGTCGTATTTCTCGTCTGCACGACTTCCGACGATTTTTTAAATTATGGTCCAGTGGAATTCGGCAGTATAAAATAATCTAAAACGTAGATTGGGTAAAAAAACAAACTTTATCTGAAAAGCGGTTATACTTGCCGGTGCCCTGCCCTGACATTGTAAAACGACCAAATCCTCCCAGTCGGATTGCCCGTGGAACCTCACGAACTACTCCAGGTTCCGCTGAAATTTCTTTTCTCATGTTTGTTTCGGCCGGCCTAGCATTCGCCGCGTTCCCTATCTTGAATTACCTCAAAAGTGGCAACAAGTCAAGCTTGGCTGCGTTCCAGCTCCAGACAATGAGTTTACTGTATGGTGAAGATCGGGTCCTCCATTAAGTCATAAGATGGAGAGTTTTCAGGGCTGTTGCTCTCCCACGGAAGACCGGAGGCGTATCTAGTGCCTTCAGATTTGTCGGTTTTACCCTGTCTTCCCGGGGGGTGGTCGCCATCAACCGACGAAAGTTCGGCCATCCCATGGAAAGGCGTATAGACACCCTTGGGCAGGGAGTTAAATGTAAGAGACAAACAAGAGCGCTCATCGGGTAAGCGCCTTGGCGGGGCATAAGGCTCTGGTTGCGCAGCATGTAGACCGCGGCATTCCCTCTGCTGCACACTTCACTCTTCCGCAGCGAAATCCACCGCCGCAAACAACTTCTATTCGAGTCTTCGAGTGTGGTCCAATCTGAAGGCACCAACTCGACCACAGCAAGGCAGGCAAGGCGACAACTTCCAAGCCAGCGCAGCAGGCGACGTTCCATCCACCCAAATCCGCGTATCTGGACCACCAACAGCGCAGTTCAGGAAAGCCAGAGCGCGCGATCATTTCCATGTACCCGTGTCCAGAGGTTTGCGACCCAGAGCACAAAAGGTCGGCCGACCACAATGCCCAGAGATCTCAATGCTCGCGAAGAATAGCGCCAGCCCTGTCCAGATGAGAGAATGAGGCGAGTCGTGGAGCTACGCTTGCGGAACTCGAAAAAATTTGGAGTCGTGGAGGTGGTGGCTGACACAGACGAAGCCGGCGGCGAAGGGGGGCTCCCAGCTCACTGCCAGCTCTTCAAAACTTAATCGTAGGGCCCTCGGGCCAGAATTCCAGTGGGCCCAGGTCCGGATGTCCAGAGACTCAGAGTAGATCAAGAAATTTCTTGGGCCAGACTGAGCGAGAGTGTGCGAGAGTGTGCGGCGCTCGCGCTGTAGAAGAGTCCAGAAACGGCTCTGTTGTTCCGGCTGGGAGTGCAGTGCGGCCTTCTGAGTCCTGCATCTTGAAGTTTCCACATCTCCGTCATTCGCAGGTCAGATCGTCGCTCTACGGCGCGGGACCATCGCGCCAAAAGACGACAGCAAACCTTCTGCTGCTATGGTCTTCATAGATCGGACTCGGGTTGCAGGTGATGGCATGCCGCAGTCCCGGACCCAACTGGAGATGACACTATTGTCACGACCCTCGAAGCGATTTTAATTGGCTTTGTATAAGGAGGCTCCTGGATGTCGATTCCTCGTCGCAATGCGCGCATCTTCAGGGACCGTGTTTGGCTGGTGGTGGTCGGGATATTGGGATTGCTCATGGAAACCTCCCCAGCCCTTGCAGTGTGCAAATTGTCGAAGGCGCCTTGGAGGAAGCGTAGACCGATTGTCTTTGTCTGCGCGGCTACTCTTGTCGTGGAGTGTGTGCTGCCTTGGCTGCCCGTGTGCTCATCCGACTGTGGCGTAGACACCAGTCCTTTGTCCACAGCCTCTGGTGCGGTGGCGCGCTGGCTGCTGCGCCGATTCGTTGATCTCGGCTCTCGAGTCCATAGCTCATCCACGAATGTTCGCGCAGTCGAAGACAAAGAAGTGGCGTGTGATGAGGGCGGTGTCCTCGAGGGTGCGTCCTTGCCCGGGAGTTTGCGCACAGCATAGCGTCGAGGTGCCTCAAGGCGAAGAGGGCAATGCATCGTGATAAAGAAGCCGAAAATCGCAAGACATCTGCGCTCGATGTGATCCAGTTGGCAGGCTGAGGGCAGAGAATACACTGTCGAGACTCGTCGAGTGAGCAAGTGGATTCGAGCTGCAGACAAAGGACAAGGAAAAGCGACCTACAAGTTATTACCCAGTGCTCAGCAAGCCATCACCCACCCCGCCATGTGCATGCACCGGCGATCCACAGTCTCAAAGGTGTTTCTCCCTCTCCCGTTGTTTTCTTCAACCCGACCCGAGCTAAGGACGAGTCGATGTAAGACACTGTTCTGTGGCCAAGTCATCAGAATCGTCGGAGCTGGCTGCGATTGTTGAAGACGTTGCGCTGCGGCCTCTTCCGCGATTGTGAGTCACTGGCCGTCCGAAGGTGGAGACATTGACAGAACTGAGAAGATGGTGTAGGGGGAGGGGTTGGCGGCTCTGTAGGAGGGGTTGGTGGCGGTCATGGTGGGTAGTACATTGGGAGTTTAGAACTCATGAGGAGGTGATGATGGGTTCTTTGTGGCTGGTCGAGGCGTGAGGGTGGTGTGAGGATGCGCGTGCGGTTGTCGCATTTTCGGAGGGCGTGGGCAACGTTGTTTCTTTGTATGTCGCATGTGGTTTCAGGATCATTGTCTCGAAAGGTGAAGAGCAGATAGCACTTTCTATGGAGTCAGGAATCACAGGTTGTTTAAGCATAATTCTTCACTGCTCGCTCAGGCCAGCACATGCATAGAATATCGACAGTGGATGAATGAGGATTGATTGCTACTAAGAAATAAATGAAAGTCTTGGATTTACCTAGACAAGGATCATAATGTCCTAGTCCAAAAAGGCCGGAAAACACCCTCCACAGCATCCTCGACAAGCAGGCGCCGAGGGCCGCAAGCCTAATCAGACGAGCCCAAAGGGGCTCCCACACTCATTACTTCATCGCAAAGCCGAAGCAGGTCCTTAGCCCTAGTAGTTTAGCATCATACCATCGCCCTGCTCGGTCCTCCTGTCACCATTGCCACCACGGCGCTTATCCTTGTCATCACGACCCTTCGGATCATCGTAGTTAAGGCCAGAACCAAGACCGCCCTCCTTAGTACAAGCGACACAAAGGAAGTGACCGCAGTGGTCAGTCGGGCACATCATGGCGTTCTCGTGCAAGAAGCCGACGATGAGCTTGCAGCCACAGCAGCGGGCGCGGACCGGGCGGTGGATGGAACGGCGCTGGTAGCCGGACGAGCGACGGTGGTGGCGCGACTTGCGGACACCAGAGGGCGTGTTGTACGAGCCAGGCGAGCTGAACGTGTTTCCGGACGAGGTGCGACGCTCGTGGCGGGCACGGCCTGGGGTCGTGGGCACGCGCGGGCCGGTGGGGATGCGTGCGGTGCCGGTGTCGCCCTGGCCCATGTCGGTGTCGCCCATGGTGGTGTCGCGCGTGGTGGTATCGTCGGCAGGAGGGCTGTTCATGCGCAAGCCGGCGAAGGGGTTCTCGAGATCGGTCATGAAGGAGGGACGCGGGGTTCTAGTGGTGAGTAAGTGAGTTAGTGAGTGCGAAGTGAGATTGTTTTGGAGGGAAGTACTTACCCGCCGAACATGGAGAAGGCGAATTCGATTTCTTCAGACGAAGCAGTGCGATCCGGCAGGGAGAAGGACAGGCGCTGGCCGTAACCGTATCCGCGACGTTGCTCGCCATTGGTGGGCGTGGTCGGGGGGTTGTCGCCAGGGGCGGCTCCAGGGCTGTTGCTGTTTGGTGAAGTAGCTATCAGTGTTGATGGATGAACATGGAAAGGGCGGTGTGGGCATGCACTTACTTGTCGATCTGCTTAGGGGGCATTGTTTCTGACTTTGTGGCGCTGGGGTGAGATTCTGAAATACCGAATCCTCACTGTGCGCTGGCGAAGGAAGGTGGAGGAAGAGGGTGAAGCAGGGCCCATGGCGCAGATATACCCTCGTCGAGCGTGTTAACAGAGCTGCAAAGGGTGCAAGTATGAAGGTGTTTACAGGCGGGCGTGCGAGCGGCTGCAGAACCTCATGGAACACCAGTGGGCAATATTGATGTATATAAGGGCCGGATGGCAGTCCATTAGCAACGGCCACCTAGAATGGTAGTACCCGTCACTCGGATCCGGTTGAGTGGCCCAGTGGTTCGCCACTGGAGATTACACTCGCCTGGCTTAATGCCGACTTCCATTGTGGCGAGGCGGACTGGACTCTTTAGGCCAGACCCCTGCTGGAGCATGCTCCTTTGGGAACACATCATACCTAGGTTGTTCGTTCAATTCTTTTTGTTTTCTCTTTCTTTTTCTTTTTGTTTTTGTGTGCGCGCACGCGGGTTCGAACAGGCAGCCACGCACTGCAACACAACCCCCAGGCCTCACCTTCATCCACTCGGTCCATTCTAGCAGCTGCCGACCTGCCCTGATGCCTCCGCCAGCGCGTACAGCGCCATCTCACTCACAGCTTTGCCTTTTGAAGAGGGCGAACACTTCCAGGTGTGCAACTGATGGGGCGACGCGACCGCGGAGCCCACACTGACGCCTACTTACTGACAGGCCGCCCACAGGACTACACTGGCCGCCATGAGAGGCCCGCCAGCACCAGCGCACTCTTATTCCCCAGGATGCACGATTTACATACACAGCTCGCACTCAAATTCATCAGTGACCGCCCTACAACCCCCTTGACGAGATACCAAGCCGCACCCGGAAGCACAGCGCGAGCCCAGTGCCATCAAAAACATTTTCAGGCACCAGCACAAGCTGGGCTGTCGCTCTTCACGTCGCATGATCACACACTGCACGATCGGGCATGGAAAATTGGTTTTGAGGGGACACTGGGTATGGGAGAAGGGGTCGCGGGATATGGAGGGACTCTGGCAACAATGGAAGGTCACTTTGGACATGCTGAGGGTTTCGCATGATGTGCCTTGTGGATTGGGCCTTGGGATTGTACTTTAGCGATTGCGACAGCGGAAGAGGGCTAGGAAGATGGCTTGAGATTGTCAGTGCACAATGTTCGCGCCTGTGGGCGAGCATGGAGGGCGGGCGTTTGAAGATTTGGCCGCCCATTGTGCGCGAAAGATCCGGCTTTGATAATTTGGCCTGTAGTGATTGGGTAATGTCACCAGCAAACCTACATCGAGCAGGAATGTAGCAGGCCTTTTTACTATTATGTCTACTTTCTATCCTCTGAGCTCCAGGCTCGACCGGACTTGAGGCCCTTGCAGTGTGCCTTTGGCTCTGTGTATCATTCAATCAACATAGTAACAAACCATTGAGTCCATAAATCTACCTGCGAAGACGGCTGGAAAGGAGGGAAGTTTGTAAGTCGCGCCCTGAACCTCCTGATCAACCATTTCGCAAGGCCATTGCAAGCTGGAAGACCACAGAGAAGCACGATCGCGCACTTGAACTGAGCCAGAAGCATCTTCTCAGTGATATCACGCCCATAGAAGCCACTCGACTGCGAATGGAACTAGGAACTCGCAATTCCTGCTATCATTGGATCGAATTCGACGACTCCCACTGTTGCTGTTGCTGCTCCTGGGACACGGGAACGGCATCAGTGCATGCCTTCTGCGACCATGATACGACGTGCATGCACAGGCGCTGGAGGCGTTGCAGTCCACCTTTGACTCGCCCGATGCTGTTGCTGTCTCTGGGCTTGCTGTACTTGGCCAGGGACGTGTCGCAGGGGGAGTTCAGGAAAGTGGAGTAGCTGATGACTTGGATGGCAGAGATATTGCAGTCGAGTTGGTTCGGGCACCGCGATGATTGGATGTCTTTGCTTGGAGAGAGTGATTGAGTTGGAAATACGGGAATGTGTGCTTAGGGGAGAGAGCAGGTTCTGCCCTTAAATGTAGCTGTGGATCGGTAGCTGTCGTTCTTGCGTTCTTCGTGCTCGAAAGATGCTAGTGATGCTGTCCCTTATCCCAAACGCTAGCACGCCCGCATACCGTCACTGACCGCCACCGCACCAATAACACCCTCCCTCTTCGCCACGGACGCAGCTCCCTTCCTCACCCACGAGTCAACAGACCACCATGGCGAACAAACCAAACCGCAAGCGTCCGCGCATCGTGCCCCCTGAATCTACTTCGTCGTCTTCGAGCGACGAACATGCGGAGCCAACTCCTACTCTCTCTTGGCCTACTCCCACTTGTGGCATTGCGTACGTACCTTCAGCAGCAAGGAACTACCTAGGGAGCGTGCTAACGGTGCCCAGGTTGCTCGCGCGCGAGCTTGACCTTACGTCTCCTACCAATGCCACCGGCTTAGACAGCGCAGGCGGCAGTGCCGGCGGTACCAGCACCACGGCTGCGAGCAGCACAGCCAACCTCAGAGGCACTACCACTTCTACCACGAGCAGCGCTGTCGGTCCCGGCGATATCGCAAGCGTCAGCGCCCCCAGCGGTGCCACCACCACTGTCACCACCAACACCGACGCGCAAGCCGGTGCAGACGACTTCCCTCACCCCTACAACCTGCCCCACGCCCCGCGCGCGCCCAAATCCAGCTCCAAAAAAGGTCCCCTCGCGCCTCCCGCCGCCCGCGCCCTCGGCCAATGGCTCTGCTGCACCTGCATGCGGACGACGTGCTGGTTCAACGTGGCCGGGAAGCGTTGTCAGCGAGAGGGGTGTCCGCACTTGAAGTGCGAGTGCTGTCTGTTCCTTGGACGCGCGCTGGGTATTCAGGAGCGCGTGCAGCAGGTGAGGGAGGCGAGAGTGGTGGTGGAGAAGATGAAGGAGGAGCGGGAGAGAAGGGAGAGGGCGGTGGAGGGTGTTGTGGGGGGGCTAGTGGGGTTAGGGCTGCGGGAGGATGGGGAGGAGGGGGAGGGAGAGGGCGAGCATATGGATGAGAGTGCTGGTTGAGGGTGGGGTTTTGGTTCTTGCTTGAGGGCGGGCGGACTGAGGGAGATGCTGCGTTGTAGATGCTTGTGTTGGTCTGCAAGACCGGTTTTGTATTGCCCGCTTGGGGCTTCTTGGAAGGGGAATGCGAGTAATCACTGATTCACAGCATCTCAAAATTTCTAGAAAGTAACGCTAATAATGGCCTACATAACACTGCCTCGACACTACAGCGGATGTAGAGCAAGATGCAAGAAGGTACTGAATTGCAGGTACTCGAATTGATTTCAAGGCTAAGTTTATTATGAACCTCCCGGCTGAGGACCGTGTGAAGCCGTATCCTTGTTCGCAGCCTCAGCGCTATTTAAGTTCTCTCTAGCATTTGGCACTAGGCACAATCAAAGACACTGAGGCCGTCGAGTAATCCCAAAACAATGGCATTGTCTGTCTACTGAGACCGCTCCATGCCACTGTTGTAAGCCAAGAAACAATTCCGTGCAGACTGTAGTGATCACCTTGAGCTACACTTCGCAGTATTAGCCCAACGACCAATCGGCATCTGCCTACCTCAAGCAGAACAAGCAAACAACTACCTCTCAGTTCAGTCCAACTCTCGAGCATCATGAACACAAGGCCGCAACCGCCTAGTTATCCGAGCCTACCATCGTCTCATCAGAGCCCCACTCCGTAGCCGCATCATCGACGTCAAGCTCAAGCTCGCGGTCATCGTCAGCATCCACATCCTCACCCTCACCATCAACACACGCATCACCCATAACAGCATCATGCTCGACGATCTCAGGAGCAGCGCTCTCCAAAGCGAGCCCCTCAACACCAGCAACAAGCGCGCGCGTCTCCTCCTCCGAGCCTGCAACGCCCCACTGCAGCAACTGCGAGCCGAGCATGCGCGCGGCAGCCGAGTCGGGCGTGGAGGTGTTGCTGCCATGGGCAGGAGAAGACAGAGTAGTCGGGGTGCTCGGGACGCTAGTAGTAGTCGAGCGGCTGCGCACGATCGCCGTGGTTCTGACGGGCGGCGGCGTCGTGGGCATGGCGCGCGTCATCGTCGTGTCGGTGATGATGACGAGCGGAAGAGTCGTGTTCGTCGGGCCCGTAGAGAGGCCAGAGGTAGCAGTGCCGGCTCCAGCAGCGCGGGCACCGTAGTCAGAGGCAGCAGAAGCACCCTTCTGGACGTCGTCTTCGAAATCGAGGAGCTCGACCCTGCACCTTCATCAGCATACTCTCACAAACGTTCGAATGCCTTCAGCACAGAAGCAACTTACGGTCCCAATCTGTTCAAGACGCCCTGAACGGCCTGAAGAACCTGCACTTCTATAGCCAGCTCCCGCTGCGCCTACACGTAGCCCTCGTAGTCGCCTTCAGCGCACATGCGGTTGATGAGGGCGCGCTTGGCTTCGACGCGCACGATCATGGCGTAGGCGGCTTCGGTGACGCGGCGGTGGTGCAGGAGCTGCTGCAGGGGCGTGAGGATGTCGTAGGTTGAGGGCATTTTGAAAGAGATGGTGCTTGTTTTGATCTGACTTGATCGCGGGTTGGTGGGGTTTGTGAGGGAGATTGTTGTAAGCTGATGTGGAGTAGGTGGGAAGTGGAGGGGGAGGAGGTTTTTGTAGGCGGAGGGCGTTGTTATGGTCGTGCTGGGGGATCCGAATCGGGGTTAGCGTGGTGGTTGTGTGTTTATGCGGAGGTAGTTATTACGTAGGTAGGTGGTTAGTTAGTGATTGCTCGGGACTTGCCGCTGCTGCGACTTCAAGGAATGGTTATACGGCTATGTTTTTAAAGGCTTCGTCTTCACAATGATCCATTCGCCAGCAAACGGAAGATTTATCAACAGCAAAGTCAGAAGAGAAGAGTATATCATTTATGCTGAGCTTCATGTAGCTCTAGAAAGTGCCGCTGCTAATTCGCCAACCCATAAACCGTCAGTGCCTGTGTTGCTTCATGCAATCACGAGTAGCAGAAGCGCAACCAGGCAACGCGCCTACCGACACCGTTGAAGACTCCTAGGGGCGATCAAGAGTATGGCTCTCTGAGCGACCAAGGGTACGGCTGGTGCGACCAATGGTACGGCTCTCTGTGTTGCCGTTGGAGAGGTCTTCATCACTGCCGTCGTCGGCTTCGGCCTCTCCATTGTCGACCGCCTCCAGCTCCTCATCCTCCTCCATTTCCTCGCCGTCGATGTTCTCACCGTTGACCTGTTGACGATGTCACTACGTTCGAAATGTTAAACACCAGAAGGGTATGACTGACCTGCTGGGCGCCATTGGCAATTGGAGAGCGGTCACGGTTGTTGACTTCGACGACAGAGCGTCGGACTCCGTTGGCAGTGGCAGGACGGTTGCCATTGGCAGACAGGCGAGCAATAATGTCGAGAACGCGGGGCGTGGCTCCAACGCCGCCTGCAGCCACAGCGTTGACAACCTCGTTCCACTCCCGTCTGTCTTCGGCGAGTTGGGCCACGTCACCATCAACGGCGGCAACGATCCGGTCACGCAGCTGCTGGGTAGCAGGGCTGAGTTCAAAGTCGAGCTGTCTGCCCGCGCGTTCGCGGTCTCCCAGGATGCGGGCGACGGGGCTGTAGTCCCTCATCAGGTCACTGATGTTCAGCAAGATTCTTACCAAGTGATTATGTATGACGGTAACTTACCCGTGAATAGCGACCAAGCGCATGATTTTGTGGTCGACAGCGTCGAGCTCACGATTGAACTCCGCCAGGCGCGCTCTGTCGTTGGCGGTCGGGTTCACATTGGGCCTGGCGGCGAGCTCACGAATGTCATTTATAATGACTTCCCTGCGAAAGACGAGGTACATCTGGCGGAGGTAGGTCATTGTGTTGACTGTGGATGTAATGGAAGAATTGAGTGTCTCTGTGGGGTCGAGTATGTGCGTTGGAAAGAGGTGGAGCTCGTTGGAGAGAACTCTTAAGAGAATTGTCATGTTAATTCAGCGATCTGCATGTAGTTCATTTAACACGGTAACACAGCCTGAGTGTACTGAAGTGAGTATACTGAAGTGTCGAGTAATTGCCGTGGACGCCTGTGTGTGAATTGGGAATGCCATTCGTAACAAGAAGGTACGCCCCTCCTAACATGCCGGCACACATCCCCTTTGCTTACCAATCACCCTTAAGCGAGCCCTTTTGCCGCCTATAAGAGCCTCTCCCCCACACACCTCTCCCTTTTCTCTTCGAACAACTACACCAGCAAGCCCTAGGAAAGAGCAGACGCAGGCTTCCTCGTGCCTGTAGTTATCAGTTCGGCTTGCAAGATCAATGTGCCTGTGCCTGTGCGTTTTGATGGTCCGTGGTAGCGGCTTTTTGTGCCGTGGCTTCTTCTTCAAGCGCTACATTCTTTGTTAGATTCTTGGTAGATAATTCGTTCATTTGTTTCCGCTTGAAAGTGCTTTGTTCTCGTGCTGAGTTGTGTGTGTGTTTGTGAATGCTTCCACTCTTTGTCATCTCTTTGTAATGAGCTTTTTACGTTTGACTGATGGTGCAGCCCCGGGCAGAGCAATCACTGAACGGCAAAAGCCGCAGGCTCGCCAGACAAGGGCGCGGAGGCGTCCCAGTGATCTAACTTGTAAGACTTCAAAATCAGGTCGTCGTGTTCGAAATGGGTACACAATGCCTTACCATAGCCAACAGAGGGTTACCTAGTCTACTCAAACTTCCGCTGGCACTGAATGGCGCGCATAGAGCAAAGGAAAGCATTCGCTGCCGGGCGGAAATCACTGCGAAATTCTCTGCTGCCACTGTCGCGAGGAGGATTACACGCGTCCAGACGCGCGCGCCGGTGCCAGAAAGCTCCCGCACAGCTCTTCCCCTGCCTTAGGCGCATACCTCCACCATTCCCCTACTTACTTCTCAGCCAGCTCCCTCGAGCGCATGTACCGCTGCGTCGTCGATGATCTGTTTTCGATCAGCTTTCCGCGCCATTGTCCGCCGCAACAGCATGATGCGCGCGGAGCAGCTGTCGACAGTCGTCCTACTCAACACACACGGCAGCTCCAGCAACCTATCTTCGCAGTTCAATCTGCACGAACATGAAGAGCGGATTGGCTTGACAGAGTGGCCTTTTTCATGTTATAAGGACTCCAGATCGCGGTCTCACTAGCAGACCAACCCGCGACCGACTTTTCTGCGCTGGGCCGACTGCGCCTACTTCGCGCGCTGGGATGACAGACAGGAAGTAATCGTCGACCAGGGCAATCAAAGGTGCCTTTGTAAGGCTCTCCCTTGTCACTACCGTGCCTTAAGATCGCAGCTGACACTTTGCCCTCAAGGCTCCAATTCTTGCCAATCGCCTGCCTGGACGAAAACCCGCCAACGTCGCCATGCCCTGAGCTGGACGTTCAAGAGGATGTCGTGCACGTTGCACATCCAACAGCTTACGGAATAATATTCGACAGCAGCTTTGGGGCTGAGGTCAGAGAATTGGTATAATTGTCTGAACGCATGCGGTTCCTCCTGGGCAAGTCGATCGCCGGCAGGTCTGTGATGGCCGTCAGCGGGCGCCGAGAAGAGCTTAGTTTTGGATGTGATTTTAGACATGCAGGATGCCGACTTCTGACACTAGCAAAATCTGTGCGTGTAAGCTTTGGCGGCAGTTTGGCGTGGTTCAACTTGTAAGTGGACACTCAGTCTTAGAAATCTTCTCTGTGCTTCGACTGAAGACGACTACCAGGATAGCCTGGATACTACATCCACCCTGGGCGAGGTCTTCATGTGGCTGCCAAAGCATAGTGATCCGCCTCTTTTTTGTACAGGCTCAGAGCCGTCGATGTTTGCTCCTCCGTTCTGGGAATCTCAAGTGGGATGAATCCATATTCATCACTGCGAGACAGCATCCAGAGAGCAGGGCTAGCGCCCCGGGACGACAAGACGGCCCGAAGTGCCGGTAAGTTGTGGCATAGTGGACAGTGGACCCACAAAAGAGGAATTTGTGGTATATTTGCCGCCCAATGCCAACGAGCCTGCTCCAGCTGTAAGGAGAAAGTATTTGCTCAGGTCAGCCACAGCACTTGGCCACCGCCTAAGAAAAAACAACCCTCAAACTCGCCTTTCTGATATTTGTGTTGCCAAACACGCATACATCCATAGCAAAGCCGCTTTGTCTGCATCTCAAACTTTTTCTTAGCAGCCTCAATATCTGAGGCCGGCATATGTCTTCCGGCAAACTTTTTCTAATACTTCAACAAAGTATTTATCGAAAGCGGCATAGACACGAAGCCTTACGTACCTGCTTCATATATACTTGGACGATCTGCTAGCAGATCACCCATGCTGACTCCAGTTTTCCAAGCACATACATATACGACGATAATGGCTTTGAACGCCTTGTGAGTATTCCCTTAACACGAGTCGATCCGTGGTAGGCACGTTTGAAGGCTTTCCCTTCCAAGACTTGTTGTATAACTCCTCGTCCACAAGTCCTTCAACATCTCCTGCGTTACCTACGTTTATAAAGAGTCGTACCGTCACTCACGTTGGCCTTCAACTGTCTACCAACTACAACAATTCCAAAGCGTTGACCAGACCACGATGCCTCGTCACACTGCACCGGACCACAATCCAGTCACCCCAGCCAATCCAACGCCAACGATGACGCCCTCGGCACCAATCCGTTCGTCTAGGATTCCGCAGCCGAGCGAGCTTCCAGGAACGCCCACGAGAGCCTCGAGGCGTGACCACACGCTCTCGCGCCCACCCCAAGAGTTCCTTGAAGAAAACTTCCCAGGAGAGGCTGGTCCCTCCCGTGCAGGCGCAGAGAACAATTCTACTTACAACATCACCATGGGGTCCTCGTCGCCCTTCGACGAGAACCCTCCCTCCCCTACTCCAGTCCGCTCCGGCACGATGCACGCTAACGGCGCGCCTACCTCAGCCCAACACGACAACAACCCGCCCTCCTCGCCCTCCACTGTCAGGCTCATCGACGACGAGCAAGCCTCCCAGTACCAGCACGAGTACTCGTCCCAGAGAACATCCCATGGCGCACTGACTCCAGACCCCGAGTTAATCATCGAGCAGAACCTCGATTTCGTCATCTACGAAGACCCGGAGCCGGACCAGCGCGCCGCCATGCTGGATGCGCAGCACGTGCCGCGGGTCATGGAGCGCGACAACGAGAAGGAGAATAGCGCTTTTCTTGCTGAATGGGTCCAAATGACGGAGGCGCAGAGAGCTGAGCATAGTGAGGCGACAAGACAGCACATGGAGGAGCTGATGAGGGAAGGAGTTGATGATGATGAGTAGTGGGTTCTTGGAGGGGAAAGGTTTTGGGCGGGGGTTTGCTTATTTGCGGGTTGCGACTGCATGGGCATTTAGAGCGGTCCTGTTTCGGTTGGAGAGGAGGCAGTAATTTGGTATAGGTGGTTTCTTTTGTTTCCTGGGGGTACCTACTGCGATGGGCGGCGTTTTGCTTAGCGTTCATATAAAAAAGCATAAAGCAATAAAAAAACTTGAAAATAAAAAAAAACCTCGAGATCATAATTGATAAACTATAAAACAACTTAAAACCTGTCAGCCAGGATCACTCCGATAACTCTCGTTTTTTCCAGCCTCATTACAGTCAGTTGTTACACAACAGCCTTACCCCCTGCACTACTCATTTATCTACTGCAAGGAAGCAATGTTCTCAAAGAGAAAACGTGTTCTTTTAGATAGCAGCATATATACCTCTATAAGTAGTAGTAATTTAGGAGGACAAGCGGCGTCCAATTCCTCGCGCCTAGCTTCACAAAACCAAACTTTATAATTTTGAAATACATGTGCAACCTCAGCTGCAAAGAATGCACAGCGACTTCCTTATTTACTTCACCTATTTACCCTCTTTCTTTCGGCCCTTGTTGCCCTACAGCCAGCCGAGATGTACCTGCAACTCCACCCCACGCTCTCAACACTAACAATACCCGAAGACGAAGCTTGTATAGCAGAGATAACTACTCTTTAGCCCTTTTCACGATTCTTGCTAGTAGGTCGTCCGTAGCACAACTTCGGGCTAGCAGTAGGCAGGCAAAAATTAATGACCAACATTAGTTCACTGTTTTCTCAATGACTCGCTTTCCGTCACTACGAATCAATCTTTGTAACCCTGTAGAAACCGCTCCTTGCATCCCTACGTGCTTGAGCTAGCTAACTAAGTAGCTGAGCCTCCTGGAACCGTCCTTGTTGTTGCGTCCACTGCGGAATAAGGTGTAGAGGCGCAGCCTTTACGCTAGCACGCGCTTTACGCGCATCGAGTGCGGTTTGCGTGCAGGAGAGGAGACCTGGATGGGAGAGTGTAGCTAGATACCCTACTTAAAGATTATACACGATAAATGTAAAGGAGAAGGCGTGTGAGGGTAGGAACAATTTCAATAAGAAGGATGCTGCCGTCCTTGCTAAGGGGTTATGTTGCAGAATATTTGTCACTGCTGCGCGATTTCCATGGCCAGTGTCAATTTCCAAGATTTGTTCTACCTAATATTATTGTGTGCTCCCCTGAACCCCTCTTCCCACATCCACCCAGGCCTCCCAACCGCCCGCCCGCCCCAGCACACCACACCTAATCCCACCCCTGCACCCACCTCATCGCCCAATCCCTCTCCCGATCCAACTCCACATCCTCCAACTCATCCATCTCATCGCCTTCACCCCGCTCACTCGAATTCGAACAATCCTCATCACCCACCTCCGTCCCAGCATCGACCTTCTTCCCCTCAGCGTCCAGGTCCTCTAACTCGACATCATCGACGCTGACGAGGCTGGCGCTGTCCCGTGCGCGGGATAGATGCGCGCGCCGCTCTCGGATCTGGATCCAGGCGTGCAGCAGTATGGTGGCGACTGAGCAGATGAGCGGGCAGAGCACCATGATGGGCAGGAGGGCGCTGAGGATTTGCCGGAGAATGAGGTTTGGCATCTGAGACGGGGGGTGGGGGTTAGTGCATGTACGGTGAGGGTGGGGTGGGGTGCGTGTGGACGGACCTTGGAGGTGATGTGGGCGAGGTGGAGTAAACGCCCGAGGGGCAGTCGTGAGCTTTGCGCTTGTGCTTCTTTTCGGTGTTGCGGTTTGCGGCTCCGCCTTTTCGGGGATGCGGAGGTTTCCGTCTACTTGGTGAGCGGCCCGGCGGCTGCGTTACGAGAAGTGAGGTTGGCTTGCGGCTTTTGAGGTCCGACGTCGTTAGGCAGCCCTTAATGTTTGAGGAGAGCGCGAAGTGAGATTTTTGGCGTCGGCGACGCTGTATGCTTGAGCAGAGTGGAGTGTGTCTGGTGAAGAAGGGCATTTCCAGTCTGTTGAGGGTTGAGGCTGGTGTGCCGAGTCGGCGCCGCTGCCACGTGGGGTTGGCTGGGTAGCAAAGGATAAAGGAGGCGGGAACGTCCGGGCTTTGACCGCGTAACAGGGATGCTTTGTGTTTTGGGGTTTTGGTCAGGAAACGACTTGACGAGCTTGCTACAAATTGGCAATATATTGAGAGGTTCAGAGACCTTGAGGTGCGTAGGCTGGCATGGGGAGTGCAATGATGTCATGGTAGCAGAATTCAAGGTGGTGTTCTTAGAAGGATACCTCTCTACGGCGGACTGAGGTTGAAGCCGGTAGTAGGAGCTGAAGGAGCTTGCTTTATAGAAAGCGATCTGGCTTAAAGGGTGGGTAGAACGTGGTAAAAGTCTTTTAAAGAACATGCATCATACTAAAGTTGCTCGCGGGCTGCTTGTGCCGGAGTCTCTCTTTCATCTACTGCGAAATTCTCCCGTCCCAGCTGGAACCAGGTAAATACTGCATGAAGGCTAGCTTCCTAATTCAGCCTCGCGTCCATCTTGTCCTGTTGAACGTCTTCGAGCAATAAATGGAGTTGATCGAGGGATCTGAGAGAGGATGGTATGGGCCATAAATTCAGCGAATAAGTGTAGGGGCATGAGGAGTGAGCTTTCTGATCTCTTTGAATAAGCGGTCACAGGACATGATAACGACGATGCGTGTAGCCGCTCCAAGCAAACTGTATTGTACTCTCGTTCCTTTGTCTGTCTTTCAATGCACCAACGCAGCAAACCTGTGATTGGGATGTTCGCAATCTCCTCTTTGTTCAGCGCACGAAATGAACAGTCGTACCTGCCGAGAAATATAGGGAAGATGTTTGCAAGTTTATATCTATTCTTCCTTGCTAATAACAAATAGCGTGTGGAAGAGGTTGGATAAAACAGTCGCCCTTCCCTCATCATTAAAACACGGAGCGTTCATGCTCAAGGAAAGATGACATCTTCTTGAACGCCTCCAGGTAACCCAAATTGACCTCCCAGCGTCTCCAAAGGTGTCTCTCTGCATTCCGCCCTACTCAAAGTCCTTTCTGTGCCGCACTACCAACCACCGAAACCAAACCACCACCAAAACCACTCCATGAACTCATTTCCAACCTTATAGCAGGTTATCATTTCAATACTCCAATGCTGCAGCTACTTTCAAATTAGCAGCTGTAGGTCGCGCGCGCTCTATAAGCATGATTATTGCCCCGCGCCCCCTGTCCGCACTGCACCCAACTTATGACTAGTACTACGAGAGAGCGCCACTACCTCCACCCATCTTCAAATGTCCCCACGGCCTCGTCAACGTCGTCCCTGCCGTTTATGCATCCTAAACAGGAGCGAATGCGCGTAGATGGTAACTTATCTTCCGTCGGGAGCGGGCCGCCGCGCAACGCGGCGGCGGCGCAAAACGCCAGTAGTGCGGGCAAAGCGAGCTACAGGGAGCCGTACTGGTGGTGGTTGCGGGTGTTGGGTGTTCGTGGTCGTTGTCTTGGGCTTGCCTTCGGCGTCGCAGGCAGGTTCACTTCCGGGTCGCAGGCTTGCATGCGGAAATGCAGCGTCGGGCGATCGTAGAGCTGGAAGCTTTCTTAAGTCTTTGCTTAATTTCTCGGCCGTGGGGCTGACTGACTGCGTGCTATTCTGTGGGCGCGGCAGTGTGCGCGTATGTGTGCGTGCTCGTGGACTGTCCTGTCCGCCTGATCAGATGCGTGTCTGGGTGTGGGTGGGCTTGTTTTCCTGCGTGCTCGCCGGATGGTTAGAGCAAGTTGCTTGCGGCTTTTCATATCTTGTTGTCGTCTTGGCTGGCGTTGTGGCATGAAGTCCCGTTCCTAATTTGCTAGTAGAAAGAACAGTGGGAAGTGCGTGGTGGTTTTCCCTTGAAAACGGAAAGAAGGAAAAAGGGACAATACAGGAGATGAAGAAGACCGATTGCTGCAGACTGGCTTGTCCTCTCAGAGATGCGAAGGCGCTCGAGGGGCCGTAGCCAGCGAGCCATTGCGACACCAGCAGCATAGGTAGGGGCGGCAATCACTGCCACACAAAAAAGCCCGGGAGCACCCCACACCTACTACGCCCCACTCCCCTCCTCACTCACCCTCCCAAGCCCACACCATTCACCCCCGTCCCCTCGCTTACGCGCACAGGCCCCCCCGCGCAGTATATAAACCCCCTCTCCCCCCACCAAACCCTCTTCTATTCTCTCCATTAGTGCAGGGGTCGGCTGGCTTAGTAATTAGACTAAGTGCCCGACTCTCACTACTTCTGTCGGTCGCCGGACTGGCAGGGAATTTTTGGAACCTCTTTCGTCTTCTCTTGGGAGATTTCGCAGCTTCGCTGATGCTTTTCATTGATGATTTCGCCATGCGCGGGACTTTGAGGATGAGCTTGCTTGTTCTGGTGGTTTGGGTGTTGGTTGGCTGATGGGGTCGTTGCTGAGAGGGCCGGCGTGGGTTGTTGTGTGTGGTACTGGTGGATTAGTTGCCGGCGCTTTGTGAGGTGGTGATGGCGTGGTATGCGATAGGCGCCGGCAAGGGAGGCTTTAGAGAGAGCTCGTTGTAATATGCAATACAGAACAGTGTAAAGCTTGATCGAAGTGTATACGCAAAAAGCTATCTCTGATGTTTGCAAGATTATAGCGATTAGCGAAGCAAAATCACAAACAGCATTATGAATAGAGAAATTGAAATCACAACAGAGAAAGCACGAAGAACCAACAGCCGAAAGCGACTTTCGTATTATAGCCTTTACAAGATCAGCAGCAGAGAAACTAGCAAATGCAGCAGCAGCGGTATCCAAACCTCCGAGAACCCCAAAACCCCAGCCAAATAGCCGCGCCCTAATCAAGCACCCACGGCCCACAGCCCCCGCTCTAGAACCCCATAACGACGGCTACACGGGCCGCCGCCCGAGCCAGAACTTCCGAGAACCTAAGCGCAGCCACCTGGCAGCGGGTATGCGCCTCATCCAGCCGCGACCCTACCAGCGCTGGCAGCACCAGCAGCGCCAGCGCCTCCGGCACCTCCAGCACCGTCCTTCTTCTCCCTCATCTTCTTCTCCCTCCACGCGGCGGCACGGCCACGCTTGTTCCTCTTTTTGCCCTTGCCCTTGCCCTCGTTCTTAGCCGTCTCAGCTGCGGTAGCAGCAGCAGCGGCACGAGCGCCCTCCTGAGCAGCAGCAGCAACCGCTATAGCCGCTATCTGCGCCTCCACTTCCCTCCTCTGCGCATCTAGCCGCTCTATCTCCCGCTTCGCGTCCAGCTCAGCCTGCAGCTGCTCCTCCACCAGCTCCTGCTGCCGGATCAGCTCCTCCCTCTGGTCGTTCTGGCGGCGGAGGCGGGCGGGGCCCTCGGCGATCACGGCCTTGGCGAAGATGTAGAGCGTGTTGTAGGTCTTTGCAGTGACTGCTTGAATATCAGCGTATGCCTTAAGGTAGTATTGAAACATGTGTAAGAGGGTGTGCGTGGGGTCGACTTACGCTCTCCCTCCTCCCGTATCGCCATCTTCTCCATGCGGAGCAAGTGCTCCCACTCCTGGTGCGGCATGAAGCGCGCGTATTCCTCCGGGAAGACGCTCTCGTGCGGCTCGTCGGCGAGCGCGGAGCGCACAATGGCGCGCGCATGGTTGAGCGAGTCTGCGAGCTCGCAGGCCGTGTTGGTGGGAATGGGGTCGGGGTGGAGGTTCTGGGGGAGGGACATGGTTGATGTTTGTTCGTGGTTTGGAAGGTTGCGAGTGTTTGAAGTGGTTTATAGAGAGATTCGAAAGATTTGTTGTTGGTGCTGGCTGGAACGCTGGCGCAGTGGCTGAGGGAGGGAGAGATGGCGTATGGTGCGCGTTGTTGTGCTGTGTTCGTGGCAGTGCGCTAGGCCTAATTAAGTAATACGCAAGTGGGGTGTACAACGAGGCGCAACACCAGGACTTTGGAAGAGCTTTTTCCCTTAGCATAGGTTATTACTATTGATATAAAGCCGAATTACCGTTTAGCTTAAGTAATAGTGTCTAATGGCCTTTATATCCCTCCAACTCGCTTGGTAATATAATCGCTAAATGTATATTTCTTTGCCGCGCGATAGTTCAACTCATATAACCTTATAGATATACCTAGACATGATGCGAATGCTGGCTTCTTAGGCGCTTGGAATATACGAGGCCCTGATGCCCGCGAGGCTTATATCAATGTTAAACTCGCTCAAAGCTTTTACATACACGCAATCATCATCCTGATTCAAGCTACCCCTAGGCATACGTGGTGAATGCCCCTGCCATCTCATGAAGCCGCAGGTATCTTCTACAAGCCCGACTCTTCAAGCCTATGAGGTTTGAATTAGAAGCCATGTGGAAGGGCGGGTCAGGAGTCTACAGGGCGAATTGCTACTTGCATAAAAGCTTCATCATGCAACATTTGAGAAGGGCCGGACGCTACTGAGAGAGTAGCCAAGTAGGAGGACATAGAGTCCTTCAGTGACGGCGTAGGTAATGCTGACCACGGGTAGCAACAGTACTTGGGGGTTATCATGCGGGTGGGATATACATGGAGAAGAACAGCCGAAAGCAAGCATCTCAACAAGGTATACACTCGGACATCACACTGTTCACAGCAAACAATCCTGAGATCCGAGAGGGCGTCCAAAAACTTCCGTTTCAACCTTTAGGAAAAGAAGACACCATTTCCCACCCCATCTATCCCATCTCCAAGAAACGACCTCCATGTTCCATCACATCCGACTCTGGCCCCTGGAGGCAATGTGTGTGAGCAAGTGCGACACATCGCTGAATGAGGGTTTCTTTGGGCAGATGTTGTAGTTCAGTGGGATGGTTGTAGTGTCGACGCTGGCCATAGTGAAAGCTGAGCCAAGGGGCGGAGCGACGATAGAGCCCAATGGAAGCAACGGAGGAGCTGGTTGCCAACGTGATTGTCAGTGAACGTTCTGGTGCGAGGGTTTCAGCGCGGCGACACTTACCAAGAGCTCCTCAAGGAGAGTTGCGGGGCGTGCGCCCAAAGTTTGATGCCGGCAGAGCCGGCAAGGCGACTCGAGGCCTTCGTGGCCTGTACGGCCTTCAGTACCTGGGGGGAGGTATCAGTGCGAAGATCTGCGAGAGAAAGTGGTTGAGCAGGGAAGTACCTGAAGGACCGTCCGTAAACGACCTTTGCAAATGTCTGTCCGTGATGATGAAGAAGGTACGATGGTGGTGGAGGAGAAGAGGGGGCGGGAGAAGGCTCTTTAAAGGGCGAGGCGGCTCCGTCGTCACTGCTCTGCGAACAAAGCCAGCGCCGACAAAGGCAATTGTGCCGCTGCCCGCTGCCAGCCTACTGCCCTCAGCACGTACGCACCTGCACCGCAAGAGCTTTCATGTCACATCACTGTCACTTTGGCAGGCACGAGAATAACTGAATTGGGGTGAAGTTTTACATTTTCAATTACAATGTCCCAGTCAATCAATCTGCCCTACTAACAAAGTCAGTGAAGCCTCACTCACGAATCTGAACGAGATCTTCACGTACTTACCAGCGAAACACCACAACCTCACCCGCAAATCCTTGCCCGCAGGCGCAATCCCCGCCGCTTCTCACGCGTGCGCGCAGCGCAGCAGCGCAGCAGCAGCAGCACCACCAAGTCTTCCCCGCACAAAAACGCCCCCTCCGTCCCCCCGCCGCTCAATTCTGGAAGTACGCAGGCGGCGGTTGCTCAACCGGCTGGTACGCCGGGGGCGGGCCCGCGTTGTAGCTGGGAGGCGGATGGCGGAGGGTCCTCAGCGGGATGGTGCCGGCACCGCCGCCGTCCTCATGCCTGCGGCTGATGGCGCGGTGGCTCGCCGCCTGGATCCAGACGATGAAGATCGTCACGACGACGGCGGTGCCGACAATGATGCCGCCGATTTGGCCTTCGGAGAGGACCATGTTGGTGGTTGTGGTGGTGGTTGTGGTAGTGGTGGTTGTGGTAGCGGAGGGTTTGGAGGGTTTGGAAGCGGTTTGTAGTGATTGATCCTGCTTTCGTGAAAGAGATGAAGCGCTTTGAAGAGGATTGTGGGCATCTTACGTTTGTGCGTGTGGTGCGGGCTTGGTGTTGTTGAGAAGGCGGGAACGCGACGAAATTCTGGGTGTTTTGGGGCCTTGAGGGCACGGACTCTTAGGACATTTACGCCAGTTTTCACGCCTTCAGCAGATGCGCGCTTTGAGCCGGCTCGATGCCTCCTCTGAGAGATCACGGAGTAGTGCAAATATGTAGAAAAAACAGTCTTCATTTATTTAAGCTGGCGCCACGTTCAGCTTCGGCAACCCATTTCGAGAGATCTGCTACCAAGCCTTGCGTAAGGCCACAGATACGTCCTCAGCCTGATGAAAACCTCTCCACCGTATGGGTATAGTGTCGTGAATCCGTCCGGTACTGAGTTGTCCTTCCATCCATCAGAGCGGCTGGGTGTAGCCGGCAAAGTAGCGGTACTTTATGATAGCGCAACAGATCGCGAAGCCGATGAAGACGACCGTTCCCGCGCCCTTAGCGGCTTTGTAGCTGGTGAGGGATTCTATCAGCTTCATTTCGATTGTTTGCCAGCCTCGAAGGAACTCTACTTACTGGGCAACGGTGGCGGGATGCTGGTTCTGTCGGTCACGCTCCAGTCGCCAAATGAAGAACAGTTCAATGGGGATGAAGATGAAGTTGAGATGGAGAAGGAAGACCACCAGTAGTTCGAAAGGAGTAAGAATCCTAATTGCCGGGTCCGGCACCGTGGCCACGGCGTTGTTCAATATGGCGGAGGCCATGTCGGGCATTGTTGGAAGCTTGATGTTGTGTCGTGGACTCGTTATTTGATGGGCGTTGACTTCCGAAGAGTGGGTTGACTGAGGATTGGTTGAACAAGGGAGAGAACTGTGTTGCGAATTTAAAAGCAGCTGGGTTGATTAGTTACTACGCCTATGGTCTCCTAACATGCCATTAACACAAATTATAATGGTTGGGGGTACTGCCCAATGCTAGACCTTCTCCGGGTGGTAACGGCGAGCAAACGCTGCCCGTTTGAAGTCAGCCTGTTAGTTTACAATGCTTCTGACCCAAACAAAGATTTTGGTGCATTCCAGTTGCAATGCAAAGCCCTTAAAGTGCAATTCGATGAGGAAGGGAGAGCGATTTACTGCTATGCTGCTCAGTGTTACCATTGGCAACAGCTGAAACTGCGCAGGCGGAGGCGTGGGAAGGCGGGAAGCAAAGAAGAAGGCAAGCCTGCCAAATTTGCTTGCCTATAAATGTGATCCGGGCCCTCGCCATTGGGCAGGCGCCTTTCGTCGCCAAAGTCGCACCCCGACACTCCCCAAAACCTTCTCCACTCGCCATCCCTTCCATGAACGACAGTCCATCACCATCTGCACCACACGCTCACAGTCAAGCAGATGAGCTTAGTCGCACTGATGCGCCTCCTCATGAGGAGGACAAGTCTGTCCTCAGAGAAGGACGTGAAGTTCATTCTCGACACCCTGGTCAATAGCAAGTACCTCACCCGTTTCACGTTCGTGTCCACTCCGCTGACAGCCTATGCAGGTCTGTCCCGCCTTGAGTACCGTGGCTACGACTCTGCCAGTCTCGCCGTCGATGGCAACAAGAGGAATGAGGTTTTTGCGTTCAAGGAGGTTGGCAAAGTCGCCAAGCTGAAGGAGCTCATTGAGACCGGGCGGCTGGGGAAGACATCCGATGAAGGATCACATTGAGACCAAGAGGCCCGACCTGACCAAGGTCTTTGACTCGCACGCCGGTGTCGCCCAAACCAGGTGGGCTACCCACGGTGTTCCTTCCCGCGTCAACTGCCACCCCCACTGCTCCGACGCCAACTGGGAGTTTTCTGCCCGGCTTGGTGGCCGTTCCAAAGACCAGGGCATCATCAAGAAGCAAACATTGTTTGAACTCAAGAGTTCTCGGCCCGTTCCTGCTGTTGCCGGTAGGCTGAAGGAACCAGACTTGAAACGCATGTGGGAACGGGAGATTGGGCTAGGAGCCACTGTGACAATTAAGGAATCACGTGGTACGCCAACTATTAATCACATCATCTATAGCCATCTTGCTGACACGATCGACCCTAGACTCCATTGTGAGCCACCCGAAGGCCAACAATCGCTATGCCTACGGCAACCAGACCGCGCAGATTAAAGATTTCAAGTCCGGCTGAATCTTCAAGCTTTCCGCGAGACGATGAAGCAGCACCAGCGTAAGTCCCTTCCCCTCGTACTCGAGCCAACGTTGACAATCGCATTAAGGCTGCGATGCCTATCCCAACTGCGCACCAACGCGGGTCCCAACCAATCCGGCCGCATGGCGGTGCCGGCCAACATCACTCGGGAGTTGGCTGCTGAGACGAGCGCTGCTTAGCGAGGCGACGGAGACGCCGAGACGAATCGGAAGACTAAGGAGGAGGTGGTCGGGTCTTGAAAGGTTCTGAGGTTGCCGAGATCAAGGACGAAAGGCTGCCAAACTGAAGGAGCTCATTGAAGGGGAACGATAGGATATACCACATGGAGAAGTCGTCGCTCTGCTTAGGCATCAAAATAATTTTTTAAACCTCATTTCCATTCATTATGTTGCTCATCAATGTCCTCATAGACCACCTGTAACTGTTTTGGCACCCCGGGCCACACGCGCCCGCGATCCCCCCTATAGCAGACCACTATTCGACCTGCAGCAGCACCTTTCCACCATAGTTCCTTGCAGTCAGCAACCCGACATGGCGTGAACTGATGAAACAACCAAGTCGCGACTCCTACTCCCGCTCGCCGCCATGTCTGCCTCAGGCATCAACACTAGCCTTGCCTCGTCCCTCCCAGCATCCATCAGCCGCAACGCAGAATGCAGCTCCCATCAATTCCTCTCCTTCCTATCATTTGTACCAGCTCCAGCATCATTCACGCCCGGTCGCACCACCCCATCGCGACGTCACACACACACACACACACACACACACCCTCCTCCAACACCCTACACACTCCAACCCCCCTCTAACCCATCGCACACCCCCCACCCCCACCCCACCCAACGCGCAACAGCCAACAGCGCACAGCAGCACAAACAGCGCAGTCAGAATAAGCTTCCCCGCCGTTGCGGCGCCGTTGCAGATCGACCTGCCGCATTGGTGCGCGTGTGCGCTGGTACCGAAGGTGGCTAGGCCGTGCAGGGCGGGTGGGGCTAGGGCATGACGCGAGGGGGCGATTACGTACACTGGGCTGTTGCTTTCGGCGGCGGGAGGTGCGAGGTATCAGGTGGGATGTTGCGAGGATTGGACGAGAGTGCTGAGGTGGAGCGTCGGCGCGATGGGGGCTGGGTGGATTTGTGCGATTTTTTGGGAGTGCGAATGGATGGATGCGTGTGTGCGCAGGCTGGGCGGGCGGGTGGCAATGCGCGGGAGCGAGGCGCGAGAAAAATCTTCGTACCCAGCAAAATTTTCTGTAATCATTAAGCATAATTGCAATTAACAATTTTATCAACAACAGAACAGCATCAGTGGTTTAGTGGTAAAATCCATCGTTGCCATCGATGGGCCCCGCGTTCGATTCGCGGCTGATGCATTTCTTTTTGAAAATTTTTGGCGTGGGCTTGGGCCGTGCGCAGCGGGCTGCGGCGAATTGCAAGCGAGGCGAGGTGGCGGGAGCCGGCGCTGCGAGCTTTTGCGACTTGTGATGGCGATGCAAGGTGTGTGTGAATGTGCTTTGTTTTGTTGTGTTTTGTTTGTGGGTGTGGTGTGTGGTGTGTTTGTTGGCGCTCAGGGAGGCCAGCGTGGGCCGCGGCTGCGGCTCGTGGGACGGTGAACAAAAACTGTACCTATTTCTTTGTTTGAGGGCCGATAACTCTGCGCCCTTAAGATGTTCTATAATGCGTCCTCACGGGGTCTGCCCTTTATTTTCGAACTTGGCTGACAATGTTTTTAAGAGCGCGACCTGAGAAAATTCTCGTAGCCCAGGCTGGACTCGGCTGAGGGTGTTGGTAGCCCTGTGAGGTCCCGCTCGTGGCGGCCGAGGCGGCAGGCTTGCCGGCGGCGTCGGTGGTCGTGTCGTCGTCCCAGTTAATCTCGTCCTCGGCGTTGGCGGTGGTTGCAACGGGAGCGTCACTGGGCTGGACTTGCAGACGCGCGGCCATGTCAGCCTTCTTGTACGTGTGTGCCAGATTGCGCTGCTCGAAGAGAGCCTCGAGCTCAGCATTCTTCATCTTGGCCTAGTCGCTTATCGTGTTGGTGTGGGGATCAGCAGAGGATTGGGTTGGTGTGAGAGGTCTGAGGGCGATGAGGCTGGCGCGATGCGTTTATCAGCTTGTAGATTTCGCAAGGATGAATGAGGTGAACGAGATGCTAGGTTTTTGGGCCAAGGCCTATCACTGACGACTGGTTACTTCTGAACTTTTCGGATATAGTCTTGGAATGACTTTTGAAATATCTGGATCTACAACAGAGAGTCTGTCCGACATCAGGCGTGGTGCGAAAGCCTTCAGGCAACCCATTGAAGTTCGAGAGAGCGCCGCCGGACCAAAACACCGTGGAGAGCTTTATCGGCATAGTCGTCTCGAAAGCCCCGAGAGTGCCGTACGCTTAAGAGAAGAACCTCCATCTTTGCAATACACAAATCTCCAGAGATCATTGGGCATTGCAAGCCGTACTTTGCATTCATGCGTGAAAAGCATTCTCTTGCTCTTGCGCTTGAAAACGCCTTGGCTCGATGTCCGGTCCGGCTAGTATGTAGTCCAAATTGCCATGGCAAAGACTCCATTATCTTCACGTTGACGAGGGCTTCAGGTCCAGCTCGATTGTCGCGTTTGGCGATGGCTTTGGAGCTTTCGCAGAAGGAGAGCCCCAGAGACGACGGTAGAAAGGATGCTCATCCCGTAATCCGAGTGCTTGGCCGATGTTTAGGAGAAGTGGTTGGGACCAAATTTTGGGTGCTCATTCGTCGCAGGGGAATTGCTTCCGGTTGTGGCAGGGCGAGTGTCAGTTTGTCGCAAAACTCAACCATCATAAAATCAGTCGGCAGTAGCGGAGAAAATGCTTTCGCAGATGCTTGAAGTTGAAAAGGCGGAAGAATGTCACAAAGCTCTTTCTGAAGAGCCCTCGATGGCCAACTTTCTTCGTTGTCCCCAACGGACTTGAATTTTTGCCCTCTGTGACCTTTTCGTATGGATTCATTGCGGCTTTGCCTAGCTCGTAAAAACAGATGCTCCCAAATTCAGGCTGTCCCAGCCGCAAAGCCTTTTTCGGAGCAGAAAGGAGCCGAATCCGGGTCTCTTGTGTCTATCCTTGAGCGAAAGGGTCGGTTTCTATGCACCTCCAAGATTTTAAGGAATCAGGAAGCTGCCAAGCTGGTGTGGACCTTTGTTTCGCGGCGGACAAAGAACGCCCTTCACACCGGCAATCGCTTTTTTTCTGTACTGTAGTGGGCTTGCTTTCGTGGATCCCCTCATTGGTAGGTGACGTGCAGTCAGGCATTGGTAGGTATCGGGAGATTTTGGACCTGTAGGAGTGATTGTCTGCTTTGTCGGGATCACAGCTCGAGATAAGGGCAATACACTAGACGATGGCCTTCTATAAGAGGGTTGAGTGAGTGGGATCTGGCTAAGACTGTTCCGAAGCTCCCGTTCTGTTATGCAATTTGATATTAGCTTCGTCTTTGCAGGCGGTAGTGCTACTCACACTGCATCGTAGAGATCCGCTCCCTGCCTTCGGCAGAGTGACAGGGACTTGCACTGAGCCCACTCCGTACCAAGTCCAAAAGCCGCTCTCCAGGCGTGGAAGACGCAACGAAACCGTGTTTGCACTCTTCTGCCGCGATTGCCGAATTCGCTCTAGCGCCGACCTCGCTTAAGGCGGTTCTTGACCGTCGCCCCACAACCCTTTCTCACCCACCCCCCCCAACACTTCTCAACCTCACACAACGCCATTGTCGACACAGTCCACGTGCCGGCGCACCTACTCCGGCTTCCTCACATAAGTCGGACTCTCGGTCGAAGACATCTTCGACCACTACGTGTTTGTGAGTTGTGAGTGCGTCACCTGCCTTTGACCATCCACGACTGAAGCTACTGATCCAGACAGACACAAACACGGTACCGGCCGTGACTTCGGTCGCGACCATCCACGGCCAGCCCGTTGCTGGTCGGAGGTTGAGGGGATGCCTGCGAGGGCAATTTCCCCTCGATTGCTGTTCACTCCGGTGTCAGCCAGGAGGAACGGTATGGAGTAACCCTTTCGGCGACCGTCTTCACTTGTTGACTTGGACCCAGAATTAAACGCTACATCGCTGGCTGTCGAGATGATCACCGAGAGGGGGCAACTTCCCCTCCATTGCTCTTCACTCTGGTATCGGCCAGGATGAAAGGTGTGTAGTCGCCTCGTTCTTTGTCTGACTTCGTCCGCTGACCTGGTCGTAGAATTAAACGCTACAATGGTCAAGGTCAGGCGTACATCCCTCTTATTATCTACGGCGACCCTGGCGTCGGCCAAGAGGAAAGGTGCGCGACAGCCGTGTTTTTTGCCTTTGACATCACTCGCTGACCTTCGCGTAGAATTAAACGCTGCAAGGAATTCAAGAAATTCAACAAGCGTATCTGCGTTGCCACCGCCCTGCCTCTACAAATTCCCCAACTTCTGTACACATCTCCATTTAGACATTCAACATGTGCTGTATTCGTTTTCTGCAGAATACCGTGGTTGGTTGGCGGGACTTGGTAGATAATTGGCATTCAAACATTTAATCAGAAGACCTCTCCCACCTTTTCTACACTTGCCTCGGTGACACCGCTGTTAGGTATTAGATCTGTAACAACAAAACCTGCCCATTTGCTCGACCTTTGACCCTCTCCGCCGACTTACAAAGCCATGGGAGCCGATGCGATTTAGAATGTAGCAAGGCTGACCTCTCAGTATCCGCGGCATTGCGATAAAGCGAGAAAGCGCAGGCCGCATGCGTCGTACCACGGGTGATTGCGACAAATTATCACAATATTGGGCAAGTGGTCAACATGTGGGAATGTGGCAGGTGTTTCCGGCTTTCTCTTTTGAGTCCTGCTCGGTAGCTTGGACTTTGCAGCTACTGCGACTTTGCAAAAGTATCACCCATAATGACTTGATATAGTGTATGCATGATATGCGCTCGTATGTCCTGGCTCCTCAGGTGTATCTGAGTTCTTAAATGCAACCGTCGTCAAATGTATGATTGCGAGAGTATGCTTTGGCTGCGTGCACCCGACGTATGATAGCGTCACAGCAACACGCAAACTCAAATCCCAGGTCTCTCGACCAGTGCAAACTGTAGAACCACGAGAGAATACTGCAAGCCTCACGTTACGGTCCGTGGCAGCTGGCCCTGCAAAAGCGGCTCGTTGTTGCCTGGAGACTGAACCGCCGACACATGGTTGCTAGCAGGCGGCCGCCGAACCTGTTACCGGTGCACTGGGCCGACCGCACCTACATATAACCGTCCAGCGAGAATAGTTTTCGCCTTCGGGCATTTGGTCAATTTGAAACGATACAGAGAAGATTAGCATGGCCCCTGCACTAATGATGACACGCTTAATCAAGGAGAACTACCAGTTTTTTTTTTTTTTTTTGCCTTTTCTGGAAAACTCACGGACTGGGTGGGCCGGTGTTCGATCCTCGGCTGGGTGGGGTGTGGGGTGGCCTTTTGGGCGGCGGCGCTGGCGCTGCTGCAACTGCTGCGACTGCTGCTGCTTTTGGCAGGTGGGCAACGCTGCTGCCGCTTTGCGCGGAGCTTGTCCCGCCGCCAAAGCCATGTGACTATTGCAAACAACAAGGACCGCAGGGAGGACTGGAGGAGCTTCACAATCCTGTACGTCTGAAGTGCGTGCCAGATCCTTTACCTCAGTCTTCTACGTAGTTTTTATTACCTTTTTTTACATGGGCCTACTCTTCAACACTGGCTTCTGGATTTTTCGACATCTTAATATCTCTTGCTTTAGTGTCTCCCATGGTTACAATAGCCTTTGTTCCTGGCCACGTACAAACATTCGAAAAGCAATCAAGCACCTACTACACCACTACAAACGTCTTTCATGCACGTGCAGTGAGCAAACAGCAAGCCGCAGCGAGGCTGCTGGGAAATCACTCGTTAGCAAACCCAAACATTCATTTTGATTGTTTTCTTTAATTTCCTAAACGTATAAAAGAGCAGCACGGCACAGCTTTGATAGATCTTTATTCCATTCACTTCTACTCATTAAGTCACACAATAAATCACTAGACGCCGTCACTCAACCAGGTCGTCGACGAGGTTTTCAAATTTTTTTTCTTAGAACTATTCCCACAAAATAGAGCGTATTTTTATTAAGCAGTGTCCGGAATCCTATGGAGTACAACCCAATATTTAATATTAGTTTACCCACTTCATAACACCTGCCATGGGGAGAATATATAGATATTTGTCTCTCATTTCCTTCTCTCTATCAAAGATTCTCGGCGGCTTCGAAGCGGTGATGGAAAGGCGGCAATATTTTAAGACTCCATAATGGTTTCCAACGACACCATTGGGGAGCGGAGGGCTTGTGAAGCGGAAGGCAATCCTAATCCGGTCGTGCAAATGTATGAGGGGGAATGTATACGCAAGAGACAACCAATCACCATACCCTCCACCTCGAAATGTCTCTGGTCTTATACATCTAAGTGTTAGGCGCGGCTTGAGGCAGTTGGCGGAGCCTGAGATCGGCAGCGACATGGCCGAAACCGTCGGTAGTAACGCCAAGTAGGCTCTAAGGAGGGCGAGGGTGGAATTGGTAACTGCACGTAGGGCCACGATGACGGAGGAGGCGTCTGCTGGTTCGCCGGGTGTGACTGCGCAATAGCAGCAGCCCCCGACTCAGTCACCTACTCACTGTCGCTTAGCCTAAGCGATTTCACTGCCGCGATGTATTATAAACCCCTTTCTTCTACCACTTCTTTTCCTCCTCATTTTCCTGCGCAGGCCCAGACCCAAAGGACACTCTACCATTTCCCCGAACCTCAACCAACCACTCTACTTATACCCTTCATCAAGCTCTATACCGGTAATTCCGTTCACGTCAACTACTTATTGCAATGGCAATGCTTACATCTTGTTAGAAAACTTTACTACAGTCGCAATGGCTCACTCTACCCACCGCCGCCATGTTTCCCTCGGGGATGTTCGCTCTGAGAACGTCAACGACGTCGTTGGACACGCCTCCGAAGACACTTCTGGCACTACTATGCCCCCCACTAGCCACCGCCGCCGCGCAACACTAAGCTCGCTTGACGTTCGCAACGTGAACACGGAGGCTGACAACAACGGCACCATAGCACTCGCGGTATCCTCTCGTGAAAACACTCGTCCGGGCAGCCACTCCAACAACCTCAATGCCCCTCCTACAACTGGTCCACATGTCGGCCTCAGTCGCCAGCACACGGCATCAACTACGCTTCTGGGTCCCGCATACCTGGCCGGTCAGTACGTTTCGCCGTATGTGTAATTGTGTATCAGCAACATCCGGGAATGCAGATGCTAATTATCAACAGGTACCCAGTGCAAATTGCCGCTGCTGTGCAACAAGGCCACGGGAACCAGGACCGCCAGCAAACCCCTGGCCCGGCTCCACAGCAGAACACGGAGTCGGATGGTGAGCTGTTCTGGCGCTTATACCGTGCGCCATTCCACACCGCCTCGGACAACATCGTGCAGGAAGTCCACCTTCTTCAGCGCAGATTCAACGCTGGGCATCAGCTTGCGTTGAGCAATTATCGCGAAGTCCAGAGGCTGCAGGGCCAGCTGGCAGGTTCGGAGGGCAGGCACCAGAGGATCCAGGCGGCGCTGAACACGGCACAGAGGTGCACACAAGAGTGCAAGCGACTGACGGACGAAATCGCCCGTCTCACCACTGCCACACAAAACGATGTCACTGGCCAGGAACGCAGGCCACTTCGCCCGGGCCAAGCCGACATGCCCACCGCTCGCCCAGCAGGTCCCGGCGCTCACATACTGCGCCGACGTGGTGGTGATCGCCAGAACCCGGGCGATGGTGGTCGCTACCCCCTCGAACTTCTAACGGCCACCCCCAACATGATGCTCCAGTCCCTGGATCCCATCCTGCGCAACACACCTCCCGGCCAGCAGATCGAGGCGGCGCAGCCTGAAGAGAACCTCGAGCGTCACGGCAGGCCGTATCCCTACAACACCTTGGAAATCTTCCCCGCCCCGGAAGGTTTCATGTATTACAGGGGCCCGGGCGGTTACGTGTGGCACGGAATCGGGAACATGCCCCCGGTTCTGGGTGAGAGGGCGCCTCCTGGCAACGCGGGCGATTAGGCCGCTGTCACTCCCACCATACAGCCACGCAACGACAAGAATTGGCGAAATGGGGGAGCTTAGCAGGCTTGCGGGGAGCAGTACATCAGTCTTTAGATAGCTCGACTTCGTCTGGCGGATAGTGGATTCTTTGCAAGAAAATCAAGCATTAATTATCAATACTTAAAACTCCAATGGGCTTGTACGTGAGACTTCGTGGTTGACCTGACTGTTGGGAAATGGGAAAACAAATCATCGGGATTTGCGCAAACTACTATAATGATAGGATATTTGTTGGAATATATAGGTCACTCAAACCTGCGCATCAAATGCGCGGGCCCGCCTTTTGGTTTAACAATATTTGATACCGAGTAGCAAATTATGAAGAGTGGCCTTCCGCTCTCAGTTCTACGCCTTATATCGAATTCCTTACGTAAACGTTGCGAGCCAAGTAAAAGATATTCATGTCGTACACCCACAAAATAGCCAGCCCTCGTTGCGGCGTTTCGCAACAAGGACTTATGCAGTATAGTATGGGGTTGACTGAACGCGCGTGTTTGTCAATTCTCTTTAAAGGCACACCTCATTGTCTTCGAGAAAAGATTTACGTATTCAAGTATATTTATAAATCCTCAGCGCAAACGCATTCGCTCATGGGCTCCCAAAATTGCCACTGGACGGAGAAGTCCGACGCGGCACTATAAACATTGTCCCAATGTTTGAAAGGACCTTTCAGCATGGGACCGTCGCAGCGTGTTACGACGTGGTAGCAAACGCAGCCAGAACGTGGTAACAAATTTTACAATGCCCTTCACGCCCAAGACGAGCTGTCTTTCTTTATAAACGTCTCTTCTTCAGCTGGCCTGGCTTTTGCAAAGTTCTGCAACAGTTCTCGAGAAGCCTTCCGCGTAGTGGGCATTTAATCTGCTGGTTTTCCGGCGGGTTTTTGGTCACTGTCACAGTTCTTCTCGACGCTCGACCGCGAACGCGTACGCGAAAACTACTGACTGTCTACGTCTTTGCAACTCACTGACAACACTCTTTGTATTTCAACCCGTAACGCAACGCCAAAATGAGAATCAAACTGTACTTGAAGGAGGACAGAGAGCGGCAACAGGGCTCCAGCAGCACGGCGCAACCATCGCAGCCCGCGCAAGATGCTCAGCCTGCCCAAGATCAGCCTCCACAGGCTGAGCAGCCCTCACTTCCCACCCAACCTCAGCAGCCCGATCCGCCTGCTCAACTTGCTGAACCCGCTCAACCTGACCAGCCCGAGCAGCCCGAGGAGCTCGGCCGCGGCAAGCGCGCGCGCCCGTTCATCGCGTCGTACAACGTGAAGGAGATCGCCGGCACGCGAATCCACACGCCGACTAAGTACCACGACGGCACCTACAAGCGCAAGAGTGGCAAAGGCCCTGTCGAGCTCATCAACAAGCCTCCCCCTAGGACTACTAAGAGGAGCAGGCCCTCGAGCAACTTGGCTACCGAACCTGTCATGGACGCCGGTGGTGAGGATGAGATGACTGAGGATGCGCCAGCGCCAGTGGATCCAAATCCTAACCGTCTGAAGAACCCTATGGATGAGTACTTTGACTTGTTCAGAGCTGTCTTGGAGGGTGGGAACGCGGCTCAGCAGACAGCGCCATCGACTGCCCTCAATGGCGATGAGGCGGCTGCCGACGTCACTAACAACAATGTCACCAACAACGATGTCACTGACGCAGACAGCGACGTCTCAATGACCGACATGAACGACGCGCCAGAAAACACTGACGCTGTCATGGCCGATGTCGACGACCCGATCACTGCGACCCAGCAGTCTGTCACTGAAGAAGCTGCAGGTGAAGCTGAACAGGACGAAAACGCCATGGAACTGATTCCCCAAGCCAGTCCCGCTACTCCACCTGACAGTGAGACCGAGCTGAAGCAGCCAACGCCCCCAGCGAAGCATCCGCTGAAACGGCCCAGGAAGAACGCCAAAGCTGGACCTGACCCGAAGAGAACATACGCCAGCACGAGAGCCACCGTTCCTCAGGGTTCGGGCAGTCCAACAGCTGTCAAGAGCCCGACACCGCCCAAGCCCCCGAAGAGAAGAGTCTCCGGAAGATCGCGCAAGAGCCAATCCACTGCGGGCGCGACTGGTGCGGCTGCTGTCGCGGACAGTGCCACTGGTCCTACGTCTTCGGCTGATCCTACTGCTCAGGTTGAGCGCGTTGTTGGCCGCCCGATAGCACGGCTGCGCAAGAAGGCTGCGGCCCCAAGCCCTCAGACGTACACTACGGATGCTGGAACTGCCGCTGCCACCACTAATGCGGCTCCCGCTCCCTCTGATGTGCCTACGCCTGAGAACGAAGAGACGGCTCGCGACGCTCCACCCGCAAACGCAGCCACTGTTCCCGAGTCTACTGCGCCTACGCCCGAGCATGAGCAGGCGCCTCGCGACACTGCACGCGCAGAGGCGACCGTTGACGCGGCTCCCGCTCCATCTGCCGTGCCGCAAGCCACTTGCGACACCGCACGCGCGAGCTTGACCGCTGCGCCCACTATCACCGGCGCTGCACCCACAGAGACGCAGCATCTACGCAGGAGCACGCGCACCCGGCGCGCCCCTCCAGACGTCGAAGCAGCACGGGTTGCTGAAGCTGCGCGCATCGCCGCCGCCGCAACACGTCAAGCCAACCGCCGCCCGCGTTGCCAGCTCTCGCCTCGGCAGTTCGTGGGCTACTACCTCCCCGACGACCGCATCCCGTTCGTCATACCCCCACGCTCACCGTCCGCTGAAGCCGCCCTTCGCAACCGCATGGGCAGCATGCTAGGTGCTTTCACCAGTGCCAACAACTTGGTCGTCGACACCGACTCGGACAGGCTCGGCTACATCGATGCGGATGATTTGGAGAGGAGGAGAGCAGCCATTGCACCGCAGGATCCGCGCGCCTTGTACCACATTCGGCATATGGATGAGCAGAGGCGCAGTTTCGCGAGACGGCGGAGAGGCCCGGATGATCTTGCTCCGCTGGATGAGCAGGAGATGGCAACGGTCGAGAGGATGTTGCGGGAGTATGGGCTCCCGGATGCAGAAATCAACACTGCGTCTCCTGATGCGATGGAGGGTGTAGAGCAGGCCCAGGGCGAGCAGACACGCGCTGTTCATGGCTGTTACACTCAGCTGTCTGTGGAGTGTGAGCACTACCGCAATCTGACGGCGTCGCGCGAGCGTTTGTCCCAACAAGGCCAACAGCAAGAGCCTCAGCAGCCGCAGGCCCCGACAACGCGTCCGCCAAGCACACAGCACAGTGAGTCTGACCACGATGAGCAAGAGCACGGCGAAGTTGAGACTTCCACTAACGCAACGCCAGCAGCCAACTACCAGCGTGGCGACGACTTCTGGAGTGACCTCCCGCAGCAGGCCGCTATCATGGTAGAAGAAGTCTACACGAACTTTGCCAGGAATGCGACGCCTGCGACATCTGAGAGAGATGCTGGTGAGCAAAATAGCGACGAGGAAACCGGCGACGACGAGGCTGCCCAAAGCGAAAACAACGCCGAGAGCCAAGAGTCGGACCAGGAAATGCAGAGCGGCGACAAGTCTGCCGACAGTGAAGGAAGAGCTGAAGACAAAGAGTCCAGCCAGGAAGAGCTGCGCGACGACTCGGACAGCCAGCAAGAAGAACTCGCGGACCTCAGCAACTGGGCGGGCTTCAGGCAGCACCGTCTCAACACACAGCGCCGCCGCGTCGAGCAACAAGGCGAAGGTGCGCGCACGCCGCCCTCTGGCCATGAGTCCTCTTCCGACAATGCAAGCTCGAGCGAGAGCCCTGCTCACCAGAACCAGGAGCATACGATTGGTAACTCTGACGACCCGATCGATATCTCGTCTCGCGAGCCCACTGAGAGCCCGCTCGTGTCGTCGGACTCAGAGGACGAGTCACACCCGAGCACGACACAGCAGGGCCAGCAGGTCATTGTCAACACTGGCGCCCAAGAGCAAGACAACAACAACACTGGCGCTCAAGACGACGCGACCACGACCTCTTCTGGCGCCCCTGGTGAGCCCACTGAGAACCCGACCATGTCTTTCGATTAGGTCACGTACATGCTAGAAACCGACGCAGCAGAGCGCGAGAGGCTCAGGCCACCCAGATCCTCGGCTTTCTACAGAGCTATGGGCAGCAGTTTCGGGGGCTTTGCGAGCTAGTACACTGTACGGCCGGTATGCGTGTGGTGGATTGAGTTTCCTTTGTTATTTGGCTTTTGACTTCGAGTGTGTGCTTTGGCTTCTTTCACTTCTGAAGGTGTGCTTTTGGCTTTTTACTTCTGAGAGTGTGCTTTTGGCTTCTGAGGCTGCGATTTGGCACTTGTGTTTGGAATCGGGTTTGATGGTTAGATTTGGATTTGCAGCTGTAGCTTGGTTCTTTGGTGCGGTGCTAGAGCTGGGATGATGCTAGAGCTGGGTGGATGCTAGAGTTGGACGTAGGAGAGAAAAAAAGTAATAAACAATTCTATAAAATTGGGTTTGAGTGGCCATGATGTCGAGGAGCTGTGGTGTTTGTGGATGATTGCTGACTTCATGGGCGTAGGGCTTTTGGCGAGGTTTTTTACCAGTGCACAGGATAAATGAAAATTACTTTGAAAAGGTTTTCAATACTTAGGGGAGCCGAGAGAAATGTTTGCTGCCATGCGAAAAGAACCCCTTTGATTTAAAACAATTAAAAAATAGCTACGTTAAAATGCTCTTGCAAACAACCCAGCATTAATGGTTAGTAGGCAGAGCACAAAAGGAAGACAATCATAATAAGAAAAAAGAGTAAAAGGAAAATAAAAGTTATAAATTATATTTACGGTTCGCTCGACGGGAGTTAAATTAGTAGATAAATTCTTCAGAATAAAATATAAATTTGCTACCTCTCTAGAGAGAATCGATGAGAAACAACGTATGCTCAAGTACTAGTTTCCACAGGAAGAGAGAAGATAACTCCGAGCCCAGGACGAAGAGAACTAAAACAAATACATTCCCCTCGTCCAAGAGAGTTCAAATTCCAGGGCCAGGACGCACGATGCCACCAGGATGCACTGCAGCCGCAAGGCCCGGCGCAGCGCAAGTCGCGTCTCGTTTCGGTTAGCGCAAAACGGGAGGCCTGCTGTCGCTGCCCCTTCCTCTCGCGCCGTCACGATCCCTCCCCCCAGGAAAACTCCACCACACGATCGCCAATTCCTCCGCATTCTCCTCATCGAGCGCGAATGGCTGGCATGGCACAGCGAGGCAAGAAGGCTCTCAACCCGGGCCCGCACAGGGCCTAGAAGACTGCTATCCAAAACCATCTCCCCGGCTGTCCATTGTGAGACAGCCGGGCAGCCCGGCCTCATACGAGGCCACAGAGCCCTTGGGCCGTAAGTCAAGATCTATCACTCCTTTCGCTTTCAAGTTTTAAGCTGACATGACATGCTTGCGGGACAACGGCCCCAGCACAGAGGCCCTTCGGGGCCTCCACGGTGGACGACTCCACCGGCAAGATCAAATTCAGCCAGTAAAAAGACTCTTTGTGCTGGCAGAACCATGCCAGCGGGGCTGTAAGAGAACCCCAGTCACGTACGGGCTGCCGCCCACGGGCGTCAACAACAACCAGCTCGTATGTAGATCGGTTTGAGGAGAATAGGCAAGTTCTAACAGCCTTTAGGTATGGACCATGAAGCGGACAGGTCTAACCTTCACCGACTAGGATGAGTACATCAAGAGGTATGTCAATCCTCTCCACTCAAATGCTTCAGCTACTGACAATCGTTAGGATGGACTATTATCGCACGGTACGTTGCCTTCGGCCACAACTGGCATCTTCCTCAGTGTAATAGCTCGAGCTGACAGCACGACCAGAAGCAATTCACAAACTTCATCAGCGACCAATCTGGTTTGACTTTCTTTGATGCCTACGAGGCTACGAGGCGACGAGACCGAGGTAGCTCGCCAAACCTAGTATTTGTAAGAGCCAAAAGCTAACAATGCAAAGACAAAGAACTTACAGTGGTTGAGCAATTGCCTCCGCCTGCCTTGCGCTTTCAACTCCGATACCATCACCGTGGTCGCGGCTATCCAGAGACCCGCAACAACCCAGATGGCCGCGGCCAGCGGCCACATCTACCTGGAAAGAATGCCCCGGGACAGTTTAAAGATCACGATGGCAGGGCTACTTATCGAGTCTTCCATGGCGCCCTCGACCACCGTATGCCGCACTGGCATCGGCAGCAGCCTAATCGTCAAGACATCCACATCGGATTATCCCGATTCAGAGCGTGGCCCAGTTCCGGGCAGCACGCCCGAGGTCCACAATGGGCCGTCGGTCTTTTTTTCTGTCTCAATATTCATTACCATCACCACCACCAACACCACCACCAACCGCTATCCATCACCACCTCTCGCTCCCTATTACCACCACCACTGACACCGCTTCTTCCACCATCTCTACTCCACCGCCACAACCAACCAACACAATCTTTACAACAACACCACCACTAACCACCGCCGGCGCCGCCTCGCCATCCCCACCGTCCCTCTACCAACGCCAACGCCAACGACAACAACCACGGCCTTCCCCATCCATCATCTACGGCTTCTACCACGGCCAACACCACCACAGTTGTTTCGACCATGAACTGGTCACACCACCACCACCAACAACCATCGCAATCATTAACCCACTGCAACCAACCTCTGCGTATGCCACCTCTCCCACCATCTGTCTTCAATTTTCAGAAACATTAAATGTCTCCTCCCCCGCCTTCCTCTCTATCTCTTTGACAACAACAGCAACGACAACAACAACAACAATGGTAACAACAAAGACCGCCGTCCTCACCCTAAATCGACATCTTCCACCGCTACCAACGGTACAATCCCGACCACCTTTCCGCCGACCCTTTATACCACCACCACCAATCACCACTATCTCCTCCCCTTCGTCGTCTCCCAACCCACGGAGTATTTAAACTCAGAAGTTAAAACGCTTTATTCGCCAACACGCTCCTAGTATATCTACCAGGCCACCGCTTTCCCTTCTCCTGTCTACACAGGTTTTTCGGCCCAGCAGTCGGCTCCTTAGACGGAGCAGCAGCCTAGCGGGCTCCGCAGACCGAGCAGGAAGCTCGTTTCGTACACTCTCTCTTTCGCACCTTCGCCTAGGTATTTTCAGCGTTCACAATTCAGTCATGCTCGTGACGTCTCGCAACCAGGCGAGATGATGGCGGTTAGCGCAGGGATTTGGAATGGGGTTTTAGGAGGGTTCGGTACTTAACGAAGCAAAGAGAACAGGGATGAACCTGAACTGAGGTTGAGGTAGGGAACAAATCATGAGTGCTAGAGCCGAGAAGGGAAATTGTTTTTCTTTTTGCTAAGCATGATAAAGGGAGGTAACACATCCAAACGCGAAGACTATTGCACGAAGTTTATGGATGAAAACAATCTTTGGCCAGCTTTATTTACAAACACATGTGTTGGATTGAATGGTTGAAACCGTGCGAGTAAAGAGAGAACGCGGCTTGATTTTGAAAGAGTGTCTGGCAGCGAGCTTTATATACATGAAGAGGTGGAGTAGTCATGTGCTCGCTTATAGAAAGTAATAGGGGAGTAGCAGGGTGTTGAAACAACGAAAAAGCAAAGTGAATATAGAGAATAATGCATGAAGAAATTTGTTCTGATAGTCCAACAACATGTAATCTTTCTTTTCTTCTTTTCTTAACCTTTCAAATTCTCTTGAACGCCCAGTAGTTTTCCCATTTCACCGACGTAAATCTCAAGGCTTCACTACGCGCAAGAAATCAACGCACTACACCAAACTCGCCCTCTCCATTCGAGCTCAAAGGCACACCGACTTCATCTACTAGTTAACTACAACGGCGCCAGCACGTCAGTTGTCGCTCTATTATATTCACCCACGCCATCTACGACCGCAGTCGTACGCTCAACGAGATACGCAGGGTCTGTACGTTGCCTCCCCCACACCAACACCACCACAAGAAGAACCTCTTCCCAGCTCCTCCCTATCCAAGTCCACCCCGCGCGCCTTATGCGCCGCCGACACCAGGCTGTGCTGCACAATGCGGAGCCTGCATAACCTGCAACACTCTCCGCCATTCTTGACTGCTGGCGCCATGCCTCTGTTCTTTTCCCTTTTTCTATCTCCATTGTGTTCGGTGTTCCCCTGGCAGCCGACACGCGCCGAGCGCAGCAGTGCCGGCTTGGCGGGTGCAGCAGCGCCATCACTGCCACCCGAGATTGCGAAATGACCTGCACTGGCGTGGCACCGGATGCCTGAGGCAACGGCGGGCGCGCGGCGGACGGGGTGCGCCGCGGGGTGCGCGGGCGGGTGAGTGTGCGTGTTCGAGGACCAATGAGGAGAATGTGAAGTGAGTGGTCCCTGGCCTGCTTTGGACTCTTCGAGTACTATAAGGGTGCGGGGTTTGGTGGTGGTGGTGAGGGGAGCGGGGGAGGAAGGGGGGAGGGAGATTTTGGAAAGAGGCCGACGCGGAGAACTACGATTTTCTCGTAGGTAGTAGAGCTCAAGCAAAATCAATGTTGTAATGGATGGAGACTTGTTTAGATTTTGTCATTTCGGTAGTTATATCAAAACGCGTTGCGACCTGAGGCTCGAGATTGTGCTGCCGAGTTTCAGCTTCAGCGACTACGATTGATCGGGGCGGCAAGACCCCCGAATCAGCGCAAGAACAAGACACCAAGAACCAAAACCACCACGACAAACACATCCATCATCCCCATCCTCAAACCCCAAAACCGCCCCCAAAACCGCCTCCCCAATCCCAGGCACCAGCCTCCAGCGCCCAAACCCCCCGCTGGCACGTGCGCACCCGTCGCTCTCGCGTCTTCGCCACGCCTAGGCAGAACCTTGTCCTCGCCACCAACCCCCTCCCAACCGGCCCTGCAACCCTCAACCCTGCATTCACAGCCTCGATACCACAGCCACCTCTATCGAACGCGTTCATTCAGGAATCAATATTCGAAATTCGGGATCGGGCTACCGAGAACGAGGCACTAGTCGCTTTTGGGGTATTTGGGCATGAATCGCCGACGCGCCCCGCCTCGCCCTCGCAACCCGCCGTCGTTGAGGCGCGAGAACGCGGCTGTGGGGGTGGAGCTGGCGGGGAGGATGGGTGGGGTTGATGAGATGGTGGACGGTGAGGAAGAGCGTGGAAGGAAAGAGAAGACTGCATTTGGCGGTTTTGCAACAGCTGGAACTGGCAGTGCCGCTATGAAGGACGCGCGGGACTCGGTACCGGCGGATACTATGGATGGCCCTGTGACGCAACCGGACCGGGTGACAGAGGGAAAAGAGCAATGGAGAGATAATCACGGTCGGGATGGCTCTCCACCTGCGACTGAAAACGACATGAAGGAGTCGAGAACATCAGCAGGGATGGCAGCTGCAGCAGAAACAGCAAAACGACAGACCACCTCTATCCGCAGGCGACCTCGACAAGATGCCCTGAAGCCATCAGAAGCTTCCAATGCGGGCCACAGCCGCAGTTCCTCGCCAGATGAACAGCCCCGGCCCGCTATACCGAATCCGTTTTTCGACCATTACCCGTCTCCCCAAAGCCCTGCACGACGAGATCTGGGACGCTATGGAAGTCCTTACGATGGCTCCCGCGGACCACGATTTCCGGTTTGTGTTTCCACTGTTCCACGTTCTTCTTCCCAATCATTGAACCAAGCAAGCAGTACTCAACTGATGGCTTTAGGATCCTGCTCTACCGCATAGTTTCCACCGCCCTGGACCATCTGCACCAAATTTTCGGCCTCAGCCACTTCGGCATCCCCGACAACAGCCACATAACCATGGCCGTTGCCGAGCACGAAGCCATGATTGAGGACTTCAAGGGACCATGGAAATTCCCGCAGAATTTTCCACCATCTTCAACGATTACATTACGCGTTCGGCTCGGATGGCTGCTACAGCGACGTGGCCGGATGATAATGACACGTGTCTCAAGTTGGGCCTACCATGCGGCCACGACTTTGCGGCATTTGCATTTCGCAAACCGCGCAGTGGGTGCATTGTGCATAGGTGAGAGAAGTCGGATTGAAGAAGAAAGAATCATCGTGCCTCTTAGAACGTTTGGGAGATGAGATGTTGCAACAAAGGCTTGGAAGGTGGAGATACGAGTGACAAGTGTCAAGTATGTCGACCAGACCGCGAAAAAGGGCTTCGATGGTTAGTGGACGGCCGAATTCTGTGGTTGGCGAGAGGGCAGCTGGCACGTCTTTCAGTCTTGGTTTCGCGTTGTAAGGACCCTGAGACTTTTGCTCAAGCCTCAAAGGCGCAAAGCTAACCATTGGATAGAACGAAGCTCCCACGAGTTCGGTCGGTCGGCCTTTTCCGGCTCTTACGGTAAATATAATATTTGACACTGACATCTTTCATCATCTTTGATCATCTTCTCTTTGGTTGTGGCATGCATGTGATTCATTACCGTGTTTAAATTTTGCCTGATGTTATTCTTGGTCGGTTCAGCTGACGTCAAGACAGATATCGTCTTTGTCCGGCTGCATCAGCAAACAGATGTAAAGCCAACCCGCACACAAAGGAGCAACCAGCAATTGCGTACCTAGCAAACCATCTGAAGGTCTCCAAAAGGCTACTGGACACCGTCACTCAATCAGCTTGGTAATCTAATTGATTAAGCGCAACTCCAACTCGGAAGATTGCGCGACCACCAAAAGGTGTATAACTTCGATTATATAAAGCACAACATCACCAAAACGACCTTTCCTCTTTGCCCAACCTTCTTCTTCGTTAACACGTTCATGTTACAATGTTCAGAAAATCGCCATTCATCGATGATGATGATGCATCTGGGTCTGGCAGCACCTCTAGACTTTCCACCTATCAGAATGTTCAAGGAAGAGTCAAGAAACTCGTGCCTCAACGGATACATACATCCTAGGCGCTCTTTGTTGCTAAACATGCCTGCACTTTGCCTGATTCGGGTATTGATTGGCCGGACGCGTTCGCCGGTGTTAGAACTTAGGGGTCTGGTCGCCTCAACAACGGTAAGGTCTGATTATAGTTCTGCCTGGTAGTTCGCCTGACGGTATAAGATGTCCCCTATTCCTCCCTATAGGGTCGCTCTTCTGTATTTTAATATCTCTCTAACGCTTTCAGTCAACGATCAAATCGACTCGCAGTTCTTTTAAATACAGCTGCTAGCAACCGTTGACAACTTCTCGAAAGCTTTATAAATCCCTCGACATGGACAACTTCTACTTTGCCCTCATGAACGTCCTTGAGGATGAAAAGGTTCATCAAGAGGGCCCTCAGTTCCTCTACAAGCACAACAACATCAAGTACTATGACGGCGGAGAAACGGTAGTATACAGCATCAACGATGGACCAATCATCTCGCGCCCTATAGCGCGCTCTGACTGGACAGCGCAAGACCGGCGGGACCGGCTCTACCACATCACCACGACCAACACGAGCGACTGGGACATGGTCACTCATCCCTCGCTATTCCCCTCGATGAGGCGCATCCAAAATGAGTACGAGGAAGACGACTGCCAGTTCCTGCTTGACCAGCGCCTAGGCAGGGCCATTATCGACCACCTAAACTTCCTGTACCCGACCCTGCCGACCGAGGAACTGCGCGATACGTGCAACAACTTCATCGCGCTGCTGCGAGAGGTGCCGCATGGACGCCACCTCGAGGTCACGAACTACGTGGGCGAGCAGATCGGAGCGTTGATGCCCTACATGAACGCCAATTTCCTCACTTCGCACCAACGAATGACAACTGACGAGGACATCAAGCGCATCACGAGTCCTGTGCCGCTCGAGGACATCTCTGCGTTCGAGGGCACCAAGATCTGCGATATTTGCGCTGACCATTATGGTGGCGAGTCCAGGAAGCAGAGGAGCGGTCTGCAGCCGGGTGAATTGCACCCGAATTCTCCGCGCCGCGGCCGCTGTGGCCATGTCCTTTGCGTTGGCTGCTTTAGGAGATTGTTCACTGAAGCTAAGGTCCCCTCGTGGGATACTTGCCCTTACTGCAGGCAGTCTTTCGGCGTCCTCGAGGATGAGGACGAGGTGTCGGAGCGTGACCAGGAGCGAGAAGAAGAGGGGGACCAAGAGCAAGAAGATGATGATGATGTGCTCGCGTGGATTCAAGAGCAATGGCAAGAATCAGAGGAGGAGGAATCGGAGGGGGAGCTAGAATCAGAGGAGGAGGATCAAGAATCAGAAGAAGAGCAAGAACAAGAGGAGCTAGAATCAGAGGAGGAAGAGCAAGAAGAAGATGGAGATGTGCTCGGGTGGATCCAAGATCAGGAGCTAGAGCAAGAAGAAGATGATTTTGTTGACCAGTGGATCGAGGCGCTCTGTGAATATATGGAGGCTCAGCTTAGGCGGTGACTTGGTGGCCGGTTTTTTGTTGCGCGAAGTTTTGTATGCGGCTGCTGGAGTCTCTGCGTACACTTCTGTAGTTTTTTGCTTGATTCAAGTGGGCTAATAAAATATACTCACATGCCCTGTTTTTCCTGTCTTCGATGTTGTAGCAATTCAATTTTTCGCCCTCCCTGTTCGAATCCCATCACCATTTCGTGCACGTGAGTGATGCTTCCCCTTTATTGGCCGCATGAAAAGTAGCAAACAGCAAATAGATTACTAGCAAACATTTCTGGCACCTAAAAAAGGCCACTACATATCCTTATTCAATCCGCATCGCGATCCGTTGACCGTTCTTCCACATATTATGAGCATCACCACCCCATGCACGTACGATTCGCCCCTATAAATCCTATTGAACACAACACCTATAGAGGCTACCTACCACGGCGATGACGTCGACAAACCTGATATTTTTTCTGGCGGGCGCTTTCGGCCAGATCTGGAATCTTCTAGTGTTCCCCGTGGCATCTCCGTACTTTGGTTAATGGTTCGTTTTAGTTTTGACGACCAGCATCTACCACCGTTCAACTTCGGCTTTGGCACCCGTTTCCTGCCATCTGGCTCATCCAGGGTCTGACTGGTACCGTCGCCTGCCGTTTTGCGTCTGGTACCTAGCGCGTTCGAGTTTTGACGGCTCTTTTCGCTCGTATATAAGCTGCCGTCCTGTCCGTCACTGAGCGGAATCATCCATCTCTCTTACTTCCCACTTTCGAGACCGCCACGAACGCTTTCAAGCTTCCAACGCCTCTGGACTTCGCTCCCAGGAACACATCCATACCGACTGGTAAGATCTCTGTTCCCTGTATGCGGCTTGTAACGGGCGCTAATACTTCTTTTTGACAGCGCACACGCCACTCACCAAGCTCTTTCACAAGACTTCCCGCTCAGGGGTACTGCTGTAGTGACTGGTAGGTTTTCACTTTCCTGACCCTGTGTCGTTCCCTGCCGCTGACGCTTCTAACAGTGCACTCACCCACCTCTTTCACGCGATTTCACTGCGACGTCACGTCTGTGCGGAGCACCGGCTTGCGACCGCCGCCGACTCTCGCGCGCAAAGTCTTCGACCCTCAACCTCCAACAACTTCAAGGAGCTCCTTTGCCTTCAACATTTCCAAGATGTCGCTCGTTTTGCAGAACCCTCTCGTTGCCGTGCAGTTCTACGACCTTGTGTACCGCCTTATCCCAGACGAGTACCCTACCGTCGCAGCTCTCTCTACCGCGTATCAGGATGTCGATGTTCCTGTTGTGGTGGGTAGACTTTCTGCCGAAGACATCTTCGACAGTTATGTCGTCCGTGAACAGTAAGCGCTCCTGATAATACTAATTCCCAAGGTATGATGCTAATGATGGTCACCAGGATGTTCACCGACTTCATCGAAGACGGATCCAGGTGGATCGTCAGGACTAACACAACCGGCTGGGAGGTTGTAATGACACCCGAGATGTTCATCATCGGTTTCGGGTCCGTTGTCGATAAACTCCTGGAGACCTACTTCGTGCTCGCCTTGAGGGCGTACATCCCTCTCATCTTCAGAGACATCGAGCGCCGGGTCAAGCCTGCCGCGATAAAGCTTTTGGATATGTTGGCGCCCGTCGAATGCGGGCAACACCTACGGTAAGCATCAGCATGGCCCAAAGTTGACGATCGTCTTTACTAACAAACACATTCCAGCTGCACACCAGAGATCGCAGGACTACTGAAGACCGTCTTGACGCAGGTCGACTTCGACCTCTTCAACCACATCCTCGTCTACATGCGAGTCGCGCACGTCATGGGGTTTACAACCTACCCGACCGACGCCGACGTGCAGAAGCAGCCTTACTGCTTCTGCGGAGAGGAAATTTCGGTCCATCCCGATGGCCTCAAGTCGATGGCGGAAGAGAAGAACCTACACGCCAACGACATGGCCTTGTTCTTCCCTGGCAAAATCTGGGATCGCGTTGTCCGTCTTCGTTGTGGCAATCTGGTTTGCTTCAGTTGCATCAAGAACTGGATGGCCGAGACTTGTGCCCAGAAGCGCTTGGAGTGCCCGTACTGCACTCAGGCGCTTGACTGAGGTGTTCCTGGTGCGATGGAGGATGAGTAACTTTTGTCTACGTTACTGTATGGGTGGAAGTTGAGTATGCTGGACTTCAATGAGACGTAATGATGGGTTGCAGTATTGGTCTAAGGTTTTGATTAGTACATTGATCTTATAATGACTACAGAATCAACACGAATACTTTGACTTTGAGTACCTGCTGCCCATCTCCGATCAATATTGAACTTGCTTGCATGAAACGAATTAAACTCTGTCAACCATCACCACCATAACTATATTATCTCGCTTAGTACGAACCCTGTCATCACTTTGCTTTTTCAACATCATGCCATTCTCTCCTATTAGTGGAACGATAGTCACCTTTCTACCAAGGGAAGTGGTGTATTTAAGCAGACAGTTTCACTCAATTCAATGCGACAGCAGTGTCCAGCTTTCTCGCACTGTTCAACAAACTCCCATGGAGAACCCTCGTATGTACCGCTCAAGGGTGTGACATTGTGCAAAATAAACAATGAAACTGAAAAAGGCCCTTTTTTTTTTAGTGAACAGAGCTTTGATCTCGTGAAGTGCTTAATTTAGTTACTCTATCGTAGAATGGCTGCATGTGTTATCGACTATAAGCTCCAAACCGGTTACACCAATGGTCCGAGAAGGGCTAGCGCGGTCGTCGCTATTTGCAGTCAAGGGTTTCTTTTCTTCTGCCTCTTCCTCTCAACTTTCCGCCATAGATCTCCCGCCAACATGCCGAAACCACTCGCAGCAGAGGTCTACTACACGAAGCACCGCGGCTGGTGCTGGCCCAGCGATGCGACCGGCTATCTCTTCAAAGAGACCATCATCGTCAAGAGAGGGTGAGTATGTTCAAACTCACCCTGCACCAATTCAATGCTAACTCCACACAGCAAGGAAAAGGTCGTCGTCTCCGCACATGGGGAAAAGAAGGGCCCCAAGCACCTCTTCCCCGGCACCCAGATCCTCTCCCACGTTGACCGTCCCTTCAAAACCGTCGGCGGCACCATGGGACGGCACCGACTCACTACCGCCCAGAGCTTCCTCGACGGCAGCCGCTTCCACGACCAGGCATTCATCCTGAGCACATGGCTCTCGAGAGCGCTCGACGGGTTCTTCCGCACCATCTTCGCGGACCTGCCTAAGGACGTTCAGGGCCATGCGACGGAAGTCATTGGCGCCATACAAGCTCTGCAGCACGTCCCGGCGAAGCACCACCTGCGGTAAGCCCTGACCTACTCTAACCAGTCATGATGCTACACTTACTACACGCCTACAGCATCACCCCCGAGTTCCCGTGGCACGTCGAAAGCGTGCTCACGCACACCGGCCTCCCCGCCTTCGAAGACTACGCACAGGACCTCCTGAAACGCAACCTGCACCGCCTCGCCCGGATCTCGCCGCTCGAGGACGGTGAGTGTGTCGTCTGCATGGCGCCGTTCCAGCGCATGGACCCAGAGAGGGTCGCGCTGGTGGGCGACGACAGCGTTGTCGAGGAGGGCGAGGTCGACGAAGAGGGCGTGGAGGCGCCGCCCGCTGTCTACCCGGAGACTGATCCTGACCTCGCGCATGTGGCTGTCTGCTTGCCTTGTGGGCATGCGCTGTGCAGGCTCTGCTTCGTGCTGCACATGTGGAGGGAGCAGAAGGGAGGGGTGCTGGAGTGCGAGGGTGGTGAGGCGGTGGAGGAGAGAGAGAGGAGTGGTTGTTTGGTGGGTTGTAGAGCTGCGAGAAGGGTTTGGTAGGGGCTATTGGTGCTCTCCTTCGTTATGTAGGCGTCTTGTTCTTCGCTGCTGGATATGCGGCTGCCTGAGAATGCTGAAGTCTTTCCCTTTGCGGCGAAATCTCTGTGTTTGTGAGAGCCCTGCGGTGCTTCATACCCACGAAAGGGTTTAATTCACGCATGGGTTGTCTTCTTCTTACTACTTTGTATGTCCAACCATCGGGATAAGCCAAAAGGGGCAGTCTAGGGAAGCAAACGATTGCTGCATTGACCCGTTGCGCAGCTGATATCAATATGTTTTTATGTTGATTGTATCTGGTTGAAGTTGTTTGCGCCATGAGGAATGAATATAAATACCTGCATCTTCCACACCTTCTTGCGGAGGTAGTAAAGCCTATTTAATGGTTGCTTGATCCCGCAGCAACTGCTCGGTATATATCTTCGGCAAGAGGCATGAGATTATCCGGAATCGCGCAATGATTTTGGCCACATGTACATATCCTTTTACAGAGCGATTAAAGAAGCATCGCATATCGAGTTGACAACAACAATTCTTTCACACTCTGTCACGTGCATCCAGGTCAAGTCACCACCTATAACACCCTAAGCATCAGCCGCACCCTCCCTCCACCAACAATTTCATCCTCAACTAACAACCGCAACAACCGCAAAAATGTTTGAACTCCTTCACAACCTCGGTATGCTAGCTCCAATTGAAGTTCATATCTACGCATGTACTGAAAATTGAATCCTTAGAACGCTCTCTTGCTCGCCTCGGCCGTCGCCTCGTTCGCCGCGAGCGCCAGACAGCTCCCAGTCACTCTCAAGCGCCCTTCACCGGCAGACCTGCTATTCCTCAGCCCGAAGACGACGTGACTCTTATTCGCGATGTCACTGGTCTCATCGTAATTTTTGACGCGCCCTACTTCCTCCATCTTCCTGAGGAGCGCCTGCATACCGCTGTCCTCTGCAGATGGTTCGCCGCTGGCCTCGTCCATGCCATGGTGAGGTAGAAGTACCGTTTCCACGGTCGGGTAGTGGAGCTCATAAATCAAACCATAAAGCTTCTCGAAAAGGCCGGTCCCTACGACCATGTCTTGTAAGTCACGAAGTGGAACTACTTCTTTCTTTGTGGACTGACATTGCGATCTAGGCTGTCACCATTCCTCATCTACGCGTTCAGGCGAATACTTCCAGCCATCAGCAGTGATGTTCTCAACGGTGCCGCCTACACGTATTACATGTTGGAGTTGGACCAATTCACCGAGTGCCCAACAAGACTTCAGGAGGAGGGCTCGCGCTCGTGCCCCATTTGCGCAGGTACGTTCAACAGCCGCATCCATATGGCTGTTCGCATGAGGTGTTGCAACACTCTCGTCTGCACCAAGTGCACGGCCATGGCCCACCAGCTGCGCAAGGTGCCGTAGCCCAACAACTGCATGTTCTGCTCGGCTTCGATTCTGGGAGACAGTTAGTATGATAGCCGTTCAGGACGGTTACGAGAAATTTGAACATGGCTGAGGGAGCAGAACTTGGTTTTTATGAACGACATGATACCTTGCTAGGAAGAATACTGCCATAGCTTTACAAATTCAATTTTCGATCAACAGAACGCAGGGTACGCAGAGCCGCTCCCCGCAATAAAGGCCTTACAAGAAATTACAGTCCTACGTAACAGCTGGAAACGGTTTTAATAGTGTGAATTGGACACATTTCGGCATCTTAATGGAGTGGGAAGGAATAATACCTGCTAAACACAAAGTGTGTGGGAAGCGTCCAGAGATTCACACGCGCTTTTGGGTTGCTTATTTTATTTCCCAAAGCCCCCCGACCTTCCACATCCACAACAACCCCGGTCAATCTCTCCGACAACTCAACAACGCACTATTCAGTATCCCTCTTCAGTCACCAAACCCAAAATGCCTAACGGTCGCCGTAACAGCACTCCCCGTGCTAGGGACAGCCGTGGGCGCTTCGTTGCACGCGCCCAGCTTCCTCAAGTTTCGCTCGACCCCGGCGTCATCGAAGTAATTCGCAGCCAAATCGAGCAGGTTATCCTGCCGCCAAGGAGCCAGGGCGCTCCATCCCCCGAATCCGTGGTCTCCGACTCAGCGGCTGTCGCCAACACCGCTCAAGCCGTCAACCCAGCTCGCGCCACGCAATCACTTTCGTAAGTCTCCCCAAGCCCCTTTCCGATACAAACTCCTTCTAATACACAAGTCCACAAACCACGGAGGCAGAGTCACTCGAAACCATCGTCGCGAACTACACCTTCTACCCGATCCTCGAGGATGACGGCCATGAGTACCACCTCATCGGAACGGTTGAGGAACTCGCAGCTTACACCTGCAGCATCTGGAACGACCCCGGACTTACGCACTGGCTTGCTCGCGGGCTGTACCGTGTCTGCAGGCTGTCGCTACCCAGGCTGAACGGGGACCCTGCACTGCACGAGCGGGTGTGGTTCATGGCAGAGGCGCTGGGCGGGATTCATGCCCATAGAAACATTGCGTAAGTACAGAGATCCGAGCGCGTTTTGCAAGAGTATTTAGTACACTGATATCACTTTAGGACCACAAATAGTACCATCCAGACTCTGAAGACAATCCTGCCACACCTGGACATGGCGGCGGTCCAGTCAACCACAAACACCATCATCGAGGCGGACATCAATGAGGTCGCTAGGTTCGATCCGGGCCGCGTTATGGGCGCTCTCAACGACACCTGTGTTTGCGGTGAAGTCTTCATGGGCACGCAGGCCTCGCTGGACGACTACGAGGCCAGGATGTCTAGCGTTCAAGGTTTGTCCCTCCATTGCAACAACATGATTTGTCGCACTTGCTTGAGGAACTGGATGACCGAGGCGACGGTGGCGACTAACAACAGCTGCCCGTGGTGCCGCGTGCCGCTTGCGCCAAATCGAGGGGACAGAGAGCCGGTTCTCATTGAAGAAGAGGGCTGGCATGAGAACGACGAATGGGAGTTCTGATATGCGCACAGCGCACTGTGGGTTAGTAGATAGCTTCATTGATGCATGGAAAGAGCGTTGAGTAGGGCTTTTTGGGCGCACCGCAGCGCTGGTAGATAGCTTCTTGCTGCGTAGACAGCGGCAATGGTTCGGGTGCACGGATTGCACAACGGGAGTTAGCGCGGGTAGCCTAACAATACAAGTGATTTACCATATTGGGTATCCCTTTGACGCAGTGGCACGAGCCGAACGCACCGGAACTAGCAAAGACTGGCCAAGTTCATTCACAAACAAAGACATTGTCCAGCATTGTCCAGCAGCACCTCGGCACACACACACGCGTAACAAGCCTCCGCCTTACTAGCGTGTATAAGTCGTATTGCCCAAACCTTCCTTCACACAACACTCAAACCCTTCTTCTGTCCACTCGCTCAAAAACCACCATCGCGTCCAGTTAAAACACGAACCACCAACCGGCATCCACGACCAGGCAAAATCTGAGCCCCAAAGCACAAAACCGACACGCACACAAACGCGCATCCGCAAACCCTCAAACCAAACCCCAATCAACCCACACAACCCAAAGAAAAGTCAAAATGACTACTACTGCCACCACCACCAACGCGTCCCTCCCTAATCCCCAAGGGTGTTCCAAGCCCACCACCAAGCCCTCCAACAACCCCACCACGAACCCCACCACCCCTTCCTCCGGCAATAACACCGAAGCCACCGAGCCCCACGACGACGCAAACTACGACGCGGACGACGAGGACGCCGAGTCCTTCGCGCACAAGCAGTGGGAGAAGATGGCGAAGGCCGCGTGGGGCGAGCAGCAGACCGAGCGCCTGAAGTTTAGGAAAGATGAGGGCGGAAAGAGGGTTGCTTCTCAGGGGATGTGAGTAGTGTGGAGGATGTCGACTTGTTGGTGGTTGAGAGGATGGTGCGACGGTGAGTAGTGCGGAAGTTGAGAGTTTGTGTGGAGTGCTGACTGGTGGTTAGGATTGTGTTCGGAATTTCGAATTGAGAGGAGAGAGGGGGCGAGAGAGGAATGAGGTTCGGCTGGGAGGACTCGACGTGTTTTGCTGGAGAGAGGGGCTTCTGGATGAGGGTCTTGATGGTGTGGGACCTGGTCTGAATGAGTGGCCCTTTTGCTTGTTGGGTGGGGATTTGGCCCTTGGGAGGCGTGCTGAAGTTGTGAACGGCTGAATGCTAATGCTTCGCGAAGTCTTACTTGGCTGTTTTACTCTAAGTAATTGAAGCTGAATATTCTTTCTCTACCTATGCAACCAGCTTCCCGAGCAAGCACGAGGAGACCGTACGAGTGCATGTATCTGCAAACCCAGAACGTGCGTAAAATTTGTAGTGATATAACTCGTGCCACAAACACACACACACACACCCATCCCCCGCCTTCTCGGCACCCCCACCTCTTTCCCACCAACGACATCACCAATAACATCAACAACCACCCCAACGCCTCCTCCATCGCCTGATCCCTCTAGTACCAACGCTGACAACACATTTTCCATTCAAAGACTTTCGGCCAAAGGACTACGCCTCTCCTCCAACCGCGGCCGCGAGCACAAGAAGCGCAACCGCGTGCGCATATGAAGCGGGCAGGGCCAGCTACGCAAGACCATTCTGCCTATCCACTACAACCTGCGAACAAACTCGTTCCAGCATCTAGAACCGTCACTTTGCTCCAGACGTAGTAGCGAGCGTACTTTCATACCCGCAAGACCGCCGCCCTTCGCACTCCCCAAGCTGCAGCGCGCAGCCTGGCTTCGACCTACGCCTTCAACACTGCGAGAGCCTTTTTTCCTCTAGGCTACCACCACGCAGCCTCCATGCGCAGCACTATCACGCTTAGCATCCTCGCACCCGTATAAAAAGCCACAAACCCACGCCCATCGGCAACATCGCAAACAGCAGATCCGTCCCGATCCCGCGATACACACCGTCACCAGCCATACTACGCGCTACTACACAACCATGTCTGCACAAACGTCCAAGACGATAACCACGAGCACGTCCGCGCCACTTAGCGCGCCGACGTCGCCGCCACCCGCCTCAGCCCCTTGTCACAAGGTGATCACAGCCTTGCTCTCGCCGGGCCGGGCCGATCGGCTGACAGAGGGCAGAGAGACTGGCATGGCCAAAGCGTAGGGATGGAAGGAACTTTTAGGAAGCCGTGGACGAGAAAGTCGAGAATGCCAAGGTGGTAGACTTTAGCTCTTTTAACGCAGGCAAAGAGTAATGGATTGGTTATAATTGGGGAGAAGACTCGGATAGGGTAGAGAGGTGAGTTGCTAAGATTACTACATTACTCTTAGGTGTAGCGGGTCTGGTGTATCATTTCAGATATGCTTATCCCTTTTTTTTTTTTTTTTTTTTTTTTTTTTTAAGCTTCCAATTTCAGTAAGCTTCGTACTTATTATCTTCTCAGCTTATTTATCCACCCTCAAACATCCCCCTAAGTTCTTACGAGAACTCCATTATTCGAACATCTATCCACATCAACGATTCTAGTTTTTGCGTAACAACTCACCCAAAGACGCCCTAAAAACTAATCCCGTTCCCACCATAATCGACCCACAAATCAACTTATTCAAAGAGACCCAGAACACCGGAGAAAGCAGCCTTTCAAGTACACTAGCGTCTAATCCCCTATACAATGCGATAAAGAAGGCTTAGTAGCAGCCGACACGCCTAATAATTCGTTTCGGCGTTACGGCAGCCCACCCAACCGCACCCGCAACCCACCCCGTCCCCGGGGGATGGCGCCCCGCCCCTCCCCGCCCCGACCTCATACCAAAATATCGAACCCCAAAAATAACATCATATGCGCGCGACGTGCGAAACACGTAGGGTCAAGTACGAAGTAACGTCGAGTCATACCGCGCTCCATATCCGCGCTGCTGCGCCTCTGTCGCTGTTGCCGGCGGGCGAGGATGCCGCGCCCGAGTACTTGTTTTAACTTTTTCTAGGCGGATTAGGAGTCAGGACGTAGTTGTGACATCCATAGAGAAGACGGTAGTACGCACCAATGCCGCAGTACACAGCTATATCGCAAGCAAATATAAGCATTCTCGCCCATTTCTCGCCGGGTAGTCCTTCAGCGCCCTAACTTGGCGCTTTTCATCGCGCATTCATCTATCTACTTCGAGTTACGTGTAGGGATAGGTAGGTCTTTAGAGCTTCGTGGGTTATTATAGACGTGTGTATTAGATACAGTCTTACCTGTATGTATACGGAACATCGCGGCACAGGGGAGGTACAGGATAGGGGCGTAACACTATAGCGCTATACTATCTACCTCCTTACACAAGAGCCCACGAAACTCCCACCCGCGCAAGGGGATAAACACCTCTTCGCCTCCTCGTATACACCACCACACACGACGCCCAACGCACCGCCACATACACGCACACCTTCCCACTCACTCAGCACAAACCACACACCACGCACGCACTCAGCACAGATACACAAGCTCGAAACAGACAAGGAGACGTATATTCGAAAACGAAGACAAAGAGCATATAATTACCCCTAAAGCCGCAAACTCCTAACGACCAGACCCAGACGAATCACCTCCCAAGAGCACAAAGAAAACAAACGCCCCAACCCACCACCCCATCACCAACGACCTAGTAGTCGTTCCACCTGATCCTCCCATCCGTGACCCTCCTCCGCGTACGAACCTTCTTCGCATCGATGGAGATCTGCGGATCCGGCCCCATGCCGTCCGCCTTCATCATCTCGGAGAGGTGTTCGGACTCCACCTCCCGCTGCGTGCGTGCGAGCTCGCGGTCGTCAATGATCTTGCGGGTGATCTGCCCACCGAAGCGGGCCGCCGCGGCGCGCTCCTTGAATGTGATGCGCGGGCGGTGGCGAGGGGGTGTGGTTGGTTCCTCCTTGATCTGTGAGGGGGGGAGGCGTCGCGAGGCCTGGTGGAGACGGGCGGGGTGCTATGGAGTTGGTTGTCACCACGGCCGCCAGCAGCCGTGGCAGGACGCCTGGTGCTCTGCGAAGATGGCGCAGGGGCGGCGCGAAGGGACGGGGATGGAGCGGCAGGGGCGGAAGGGCCCTTGTTGATGCCGTAGCTCGGCAGCACCGACTTCACCGTCGGCTTCAGGGCGATACCGAAGCGACGTGCGGACATGCCGGCCGGCATGGCGCTGGCGGCACGGCGAAGCTTGCGTGCGTCGGAGGTGTTGAGGAGGCCACGGTTGCAGACGTGGCGGTAAGAAGGCTCGGGCGCGACATCGGCCAGGCGCCGACGCTTGCCAGTAGCCCTGACAGCTGCGACAAGGACCGGGACGACATCATCCTCGTCCCGCTTGCGCTTGAGGGGCGGCGACCTGTGGGCGTCGGCGCGGGCGGAGCGAGCCTGGGCGTTGGCGGCGTGGTTCTGATGGCGCCTGATCGTGACAGGCGACCTGGCGGCTGCGGTGGTGGTGGTGGTGGTGGTGGTGGTGATGGGTGTGGCAGCGTTTTCAGAGCGCTTGCGCTTGATGGGCGCTTTGGGAGCTTCAGATGGAGAAGCGTTGTCCTTCTTGGCGAGGGCCCTGACTGCTTCAGTAGTAGTGGGACCATCAACGCGAGTGTGCTTGTTGGCTTCGGAGGAGGAGGCATCATCCTCGCGCTTGCGCTTCTGGGACGCCGGGGCAACATCTTGGTTGCGGCTGGTGAATGCCGAGATGCCCTTAGAGATGTTGCGCTTGTTCGATGCCTCGAGGGACGCGGTGAGGGCGCCGTAGATGGAGGAGAACGAGGTAGGAGCCGAAGAAGAGGGCTTGCGGGGAGCAGCATTGGAGGAAGCGGGCCTCATGGTGGCCGGTTTAGATTGGGCGGGCTTCGAGGGAGCGCGCATGGAGGAGTCGGGATTTCCGAGTGTGGGGTTCGCGGCTGACTTGCTCGCGGCCGAGACAATCTTCTGAGGGTTCGCCTTGTTGGCGACCCTAGACGGCTTGACGAAAGCCAAGCGAGCGGAGGTTAAGAGGGAAGGAGCCATGTTGGAAACGCTAGAGTAGTGTGTTGAGTCGCGTGAAAGGTATTTAGTGAGGCCTTAAAAGAAGGCTGGAGGGAGCGTGTGCTCGTTGTTGGTAGTCGCTGGAAGCGAGTAACTTGCGAAGAGCGATCGTGTAGAGGGATGCTTGCTTGCAAGTGTGATTTGCAAGGAAGCGTGAGGTTGAAGCAGTCGAGCGTTGTGGTACTGAAAGCTGAAAGCTGAAAGTTGAAGGCTGTCGAGTGGGCTTCGGTAGAGTGGAGAAAGGAAGAAGCACTGAAGTGAAATGGGATTGATATATACGCTGCGTAAGCGAAAGCCGAGCAATGACGGACAGAATATGTTAACACTCGGGACAATACACCTGTTAGTGAACAGTGGCACGCGAACTCTTGACGTACGGTTCTGCGTCAATCTCGGCCACACGCGCTACCATGGACCAGCCACAACAATCACCACCCTATTTGTGTTTTGGCTGCTCCCATCCATGATACCGTCGTTGCAGTCCGTACCAGTTCGAAGAAGAGCTACCTGGCCTCGGCAAATGTGTCCCTCCACTTCGATGTCGACCGGATAGCGCTGCAGACGCCGTTGGGCTTGACGGCCGGGCACTGACGCATCCCGGGACCGCGGCCTTGGACGATGCGCACCAGGGGAATTGATCTTTGGAACCAACATCCAGATCCGAGGCCGTGTTGCTGAGGATAGACCACACCTTCTCTTCGCCGACTTCCAGCCTTGAGCAGGTGGATACTGGGTCACGGTCGCTGGTAGTCTTTGTCCATAAATCTTTATCGTTGATACCCTCTAACAGGCAGAACGTGGTAGAAAACAGACTAGTATACTGCAGCAGCTGAAGATATCCTGTTAGCCATTCAAGGCCCGGGATATCGCCTTCCCGAATGCTCGGGTGTTCGACAAGCCCCGAATGACAGCTGCTCGACGATTTCACGCTTCCTGCATCCGATCAGCCATGAGCCATGCACAGGACCAGAGAAAACGTACGTCATGACTGTCCAGCGAACCAAGTTCGGGGAAAGCCATCTTCGAGTGCTTCAATGCCAGGGCAACCTGCCGGCCCAGCTCGGGAGGCGCAATCATGCGCGCGAAGAGGCGGATAATGGCACTGCAGCGAAGAGAGGCAAAGCTGTACAGAGAGGTCAGAGCCAAAAGAGAGGCAAAGACATGAAGAGTTCAGCGCAGTGATGCGCCTCAGTTGCACATGGAAGTAATAATAAACGCGTGCGTCCTCGTTTGCGGCAGGCCGGCTCCTGGCAGGCCATCGCACCTCGGTCGCTCCAGAAACTATGAGGCAAGGCAACAGGAGGACAAGAGAGCAAACATGATGCGACAAGCAAAGAGACCAAGGCAGTAGGACGAGAATGCCGAGGATTGAGGTGTGTCCTGAAAGTTCGCATCGAGCAGCGACGTTATGCGGCTCGTGCCTGCCTTCCCCGTAGGAAGCTGCATCGCATCTCGAGCTTCCGCTTCAGCTCCGCCGCGAAACATACACCGCGAGTAGTGACGCGCTGCGAGCCTGCGACGAGGACAAGGTCATGAACAATCTTGATGCGGCTTTCGCTCTTCGGATGCGCCCCATATGATATATCTTCACAGGGTGGCATGAAGGAGGCTGTATGGTCTTCCCGGGCTCGACGGCGAACGGTACGTCTTCTTCTTCGATCTCCACCAGCCCGTACACCTCCTGGAAGCTTCGAGGTGTTCCTCTGACTATCATCGCTTCGCTTCAAGGGAGATATCCTCTAGGAACAAGCCACTGTTCCACTCTATAGACACAAGGGCTCTCCTACCGATAGCGGCGACGCATACCGCAGCTCACCGTCCCCACCACCCCACAGCGCTCATAGAGAGGAGGATGTCGTTCAAGAGATGTTGTATGGGGATGAAGTGGCAGGGGTAGGCATGGCGGGTTGCAGGCCGAACGCCTGACGAGATGGAGTATGCCGTTGGCGGTACTCCGTTTGGAAGGTATGGTAGTACTCTGTGGTTCGGGGCTTCTTTTGCCGAGTATTGCGACCAGAAGGGATGTCGTTCCTATCGTCTTCATCCTCCAGTGGTGAGTGCCCCCGCATTTTGCCAGCTAGAGCAGGCGGACAAGGGCTAGAATCAAGAGCCCTTGTCTTCGACAGTATACATTTTCGGAAGGGTATCCGGATTCCGCAAACGGAATTGAGAGATACGATACCTGCTGCTGCGGCTGTGCTTCGTTTTGTCCTTGGAGGTGCGGACATCTCCCTCGTTGGTTATTGAGATGGTGGTGATTCTCACTCTGGGAATGGGAAGACAACGGCGTAGTAGTGGGTGTGGATGAGCTCGAAGAGGTTGCCGCCTTTTAAAGCCCGGAGTTCTTCGCGGTCCAGCACGTTCAGTAGCTTCTAAAAATTATCTTCCAAGTAAGAACTTTACCCTCCGTAATAATAGAGATAGTAGTAAACTTTAGGTCTATAGGAGTATTCTCGTGCCGAGCGAGAATGCTGAGAAGGTCTAACGCTTTGCTTATAACGAAGTCGTGAAGGTGGCAGGAGGATCAAGAATATAGACAATAAAACCGGAATTGACAGCATTTGGACGACCTTGTTGGCTGTAAACGGACACTGGGACAAGTCGCTCTTGCATTCTACCCCTGTAGGGTGACCTATACGGCCGTGAATATCCATGGCGATAAACTCGCTAATGGGTTCTTTTGGTTGGGATGGTCGTCATCTTCAAGGCCGCGTAGGCCATATGACCAGGTTCGACCTTGGCGGGGAACGGAACCCTTTCATAGTGCTTTAGGATCTTGCAAAGGCCTGCATGATCGTCGGCGGCTTGAAGTCAGGGTTCGGTGCGAAGTGGAATGCTCCCGCCTGGAACCAGTTATCGGGTTTGTCGAAGAGCCGCTCGAGGGTGGGATCGGCAAAGGCGCCGTACACCCGGTGTAGCGGTCGAGGAAGGGGCGTGACTTGGTCCGTTGCTAGCAATGCATGAGAGTCATGTTCCTTTGGGTGGAAATATACGCCTGGAGTGCATTCTGTCTGTGTTGTTAGACTAAATTGTAAATGTGGAGAATACCGTCAACGTTGTTAGCTTACGAGTGGATAGGGGTTAGTCAAATTGGTGTGCGTAGTGCTTGAGTTCTATAATAAAAGTAATGAAGCTTTTAATTAAGTACACATTTATAAACGGAATCGGAGTTGTAGGAAGTGATAGGGAGACTAGATATAATCTGCTTCGTATTATCAAATCCGTCTCTACAAGGATCTAGGTTTTGAGCGTCCATCGTTATCTGGGTTGGAAAGCGGTACTCTGTGGTCTTTTATAAGCTATGGGAGTATTTGTTACAGCCTTGTTTGAAGCTTGCGGCTTGTCTTTTTGCTAGGCACGTGGTAGAGTGGTTGGGGCTTGATATCAATCATTTCACTACAGAAACTGACGTACGACGCCCTGCATCAGGCAAAGAAAAAGTTTATCCTTTAAACTTAATCATATGTATAAATCGTTTTTGTTTGAAATGGGTCCACTAAGGAACCTTTTTTAACAAAAGCCCGCACGCTTGGTGTTTGCCATGTGGTGTTTGTTGCGCGTATCAAGTTTGTTAATGACGTCACGCTTTGTCTACGCGTCAAACTCACAAACACGCGCCCCTCCCTTCCATCAACCCATGCACGATTGTACCCATCCACGCGCAATCCCTTCATTTTCTGCATCCTCCGTAATTCAACTTGTACTATGGTCACGTCGACACCGCGCCGAAGCCTGCGAGCCCATCAGCAGACCCCAGGCCGCCAAACACCCAATATACCAGGCAAGCCATTTCCCCCGAGAACATTCCTCCCCCAGCGCGAACATGCTATCGATTTCGAGCAGGAGCAAAGACCTCAGCGACAGCGGAGAGGCTTGCACAAGGTTCTGGCGCGCGCGGTATAAGGAACAGGCAGGTTTCAGTCCAAATTAACATACGGCCGCTCACTGACAAAACCAAAGATCAGGAAGCATGCGAGACGTACCCACCGATGACAACGTCGTACCCCGGGTCATTCGATCGCAGCAAGTTTCTATAGAGGGCTGCACTCGCTACGCAACACGGAGCAGAGGCCCATCTATTGATCCTCCGAGGACGTTTGATCGTCCCCAAACCCGTCTACTAAAGCGGCCCCGCATCAGCTACGAGGCATTCTCTGCCAAATTCGCGTCATCGGCAGCCCCGATCCCCAGTATTGAGGAGCTGCCAAGCCCTCAACCGCCATCGCCTGCGCCCACGGCGGCGACGCTAGCTCTTTTGCCTGGCAAGGCCGAGGAACCACAAACCCAGGAAACAGCTCCCATCACAACCACGGTAGGGTCATCGTCGCTGCCTGGCACGCTTTATAAAGCGACGACGCCGGACATCATGTCCACGCCCTTAAGTGATACCGACGCAGACGGCACAAACACAGCCATGGCCTTCCCTACCAACAGCAACGCCTCCCCTACGCGCCGCGCCGGCGCCAACACATATTCACCTCCCCGTCCCTCTCCGCTCCGCGCCATGGAGACGGCTGGTGCCGAGCCCGCGCGCTCTCACTCCACCATCGCGGCCGCGCCACTCCGCTCCTCCCCGCCCCGAGCCACGATCACAGTAGACGCGGCGCTGGCGGCCCAGCGTGCCCCTGACACGGTCCCCCTGCCCCCGCCCCCGCCAACAACGGACGTCGACATGGTGGACGAGCTGGCCGCGCCCGCAACCTCCCAGCCGGCCCCCCAATCCTCTCCTCAAGGCGCTGAAGGCCCGAGCAGCGCGTCGGCGCCGCCTACTTCCCTACCTGACCCCGATGGGCTCACCATGTACCAGCAGCGCCAGTGGTATATCGACGCTGTCGTCCTCTTTGGCGCGAAGACACCAAACAGTGACCCTGCTGTGAACTGGGAGTACACGGTGCCGTGGGCGTGGAGGGACGCGCGGCTGGATGAGACGGAGGAGATGCGGGCGGAGCGGAAGAGGATGTGGAGGAATTTGCGGGAGTGGAGTCGCTTGGATGATTCGTGAGTATTGATGTTGTGTGCACGGATGTGTTTATAGAGGATTGTGCTAAACGATTTTGTATAGCTTTCGATGATTCTTGGATGGCTGTGCAGAGGCCGCTGTCGCTGCGCGAGGGGATGAAACAGGAACCAGGGCTCAAAATGAAAAAAAAAGGGGGGCCGTTGGATTGGTGGCAAGAGGTTGGTTCTGAGGACGGTGTGAGCGGATAGGGCTGTGCGAATGCAGAAATCTTTGTATGTGGCACTTTCGGCGGAATGGGCTTTGCTTTTGAGCTAGATAGCAGCATTGGAGTATTTCCTGTGGTATTGGGGGTTCAGGTACGCAAAGGTATTTTAAATGAGACTTTGTTACTGGCTATCAGTCTGTTGTAAACAATGGATCCTTTGTTTCTAAATATATATTCTATGCAGGAGACTCTTATTCTCGTAAAATATTCACTGCTGTAAGCAAAATGGACATTGTGAAAGACCAAATTCATTGACCCAACGTTTGGTGGATGTTCCGTTTAAGGTAAGAATGACGTATTCGTCAACAGTACGTACCGAAGTCTCGCCAACCCAGCACGCGCCAGCCTTCCTTTTCTTTCCTTCCCGCGCAACCTACCAATCCCTCCTCCCTCATCGCAGACAGTTCCACCTGCGATTTCAGCAAACATGTCTTCCGAGGTCAACAACCACGCCGGAGAGTCCCAGAACGACCAAGGCACTATGAAGAAGGCCGTTGTCCTTGAAGACACCATGGAGAAGATTCATGCCCTTGAAGACACTCCGGCGCCATCCGAGCCGTCCAACGTCCTCGACCCAGGCACCGAAGCCATCATCGCCGCTCTCAACGACCTGCGCGACAGCTTCAATGCCCACATCGATGGCCTGCGCGATGACATCAAGGCCCTCCGCGCCGACATGCGTGAAGGTCCTCAGAGCCGCGTCTACGAGGATCTCCCCGATCTAACTGGTGTTCGCTCTGATATTGGTGCTCTCCGTTCCGGTATTGGTGGCGTACGCTCTGACATTGCTGCCGGTTTTGGTGGCGTCCGCTCGAACATTGCTGCCGTCCGCTTGGATCTTGGTCACGTTCGCTACAACCTTACACGTGGCTTCAGGGACATCCGCGGTTCGAATTGGGCTCCCGCTGAGGACAACGACCTTACTGGCGCCTCTAAGGACATCCGCAACAGTTCTAAGAATGTTCGCGATGAGGTGAAGGGCAGCAAGAACGCGTCCATCCACGATCCCAAGAGCTCCAAGAATGTCAAGGAAACTCCGCAACGAGATCAAAGAGGTCCGCGAGATGGCCATCGAAAACCAAAAGGGTTTTGAATTCCTGTATGTCCACCAGCCGTCCTTGCACCAAAAGTTTACTAACGTATTCCCAGGCACCAGCTTATCTCCCTCCGCAACCATAGCACCGCCAGAGGGCTCGACACGCCCACGGTCGACGGCAAGGTGAACTACGATGAACTGTACGTCTACAACCACATCCACAATACATCAAGCACCTACTAATATATTATCAGGCCCTACATCTTCAAGTACGAACACCAATCCGACAACGGACGCACTACGGCTCCTTACAACAGCAAAAAACCGAAGACTAGACTGTACGTGCACCGACCATACCCTTAAAACACTAAGCATCTACTAACGCATTCGCAGGTCGTACCCCGTGGACTGCTACTACGAGTGGGAGGCCGACGGCTCTGCCCGCCTCGTCACGGGCGACCCCGCGCTCGCCAAGCCCGAGCCCGCCGACCGCGTCACGTTCAGCCGGGATGTCCGGGACATGCCTAGTCCGGACCCATTCGAGGCTTCCAGGGCTCGTGCCAACAAGCCTCTTCACCCCAAGCGCTCTGTCCTCACTGGCGGAGAGATCCCGCATTTCCCGAACACGCCCGCCGATATCAAGAAGATGCCTAGCGAGCAGCTTGACATCGTCTTGAAGTATCTCAACGTCAATCCAACTGGCGATGTGCAGACGAAGCGCTTGGCACTTGAGTGGGACTTTGGCTTGGGCCTGTTCACGTAGGGGACGAATGGCATTGGCGGGTGGAGGGGATGGGCTGGCTTGATTGCTGGCTGGTTTGCTTGCTTGCTTGCTTGTTTGCTTCCAAGACCTGCATCACATGGCGATACTCGGGCTCTCTCTCGCCTGTCTACTTTCTCTTCCTTACCCGATTCGATGCTCTTTAGCTTAGATGCTATACTTTCTACTGCGAGTGACTTCTCTTACGATACTAGGTCTGCAGTAGCAGTAGCAAGAATGAACTGACTTTTTCACGTCTAAATATCAAGCTGTACGAGCAACACAAGTGAACGAATAACCTACGTGTAATAATAGGTTTAAACAAACAACTAAATCTAAAAGAAGATACTAAACAACTTGATTAATAGCTTCGTATACTAAAGACTACACAGGATTTTTATTACTTGGTTAATGGCTTGATATATTTATGTTGGATTGAATAGTTGAAACCGTGCGAGTGAAGAGAGAACGCGGCTTTATTTTGAAAGAGTGTCTGGCAGCGAGCTTTATATACATGAAGGGGTGGAGCAGTCATGTGCTCGCTTGTAGAAAGTAGCAGGGGAATAGCAGGGTGTTGAAACAACGAAAAAGTAAAGTGAATATAGAGAATCATGCATGAAGAAATATGGCCTGATAGTCCAACAATTTATTACCCCGAGGGATTAGCACAATGCATATAATGCATAACACATTTATAAATATAACTTATTGGGTTTTTATCTTTCTTTTACATTCTTTTGTGCTTAGTGATTTTTGCAGACGATGCTATTTGATGGTCAAAATGCCGCTTCATTGACAAAGAAAAGACGAAAGGAACTCATTCAGTCTTAGGGGTCAAAGAAATTGGAAAACGGTTGGGAAGAACATGGTCACTAGCGAGACTTTGTTTTACATTTAAAAATACATTTTTTTTATTCGGGTTTTATCATTCTTTTACGTTTTTCTGTGTTTTTCTGTTTTCTAGAAGACGCTGGATGAAAGTCGAAATGCCGCCTAACAAAGGAAAGGGAAAGCAAACTCAAAAGCTCCGGACCGTTTTTTTGTGTTTTTGTAGTCTTTGTAGTAAAAGCGGGAAGAAAGTCGGAATGCCGCCTAACAAAGGAAAGACAAAAGGAAATCATTCAACCTTGGATCAAGAAAAAGGGAACGGGGAAATAGGATGGGGGAGGGGACTACCGAGGGTGTCCAATCGTGCCGGGGGGAAGGAGGAGAGTGGCGTCGTGAGCTCATCACAGGGAAGGGTCAGAAAGGCAGGGAGTATCAAAGCTCGAATGAATTACCCTAAGGTCCATCCAAAGCCCTATCGAAAGCTCCGTCCTCCATATCCCGCTCCCACTTCTCAAAGTCAAAGACTTCCTCCATAAACGCATCCCCCGCCCACTGCTCCTTCAGCAGCGTGTCTAAATACACCCTCATCTCCTCATTGTCCCTCACCAGATCTATCCACTCCCCCTCGTCCCCGCCCGCAGCCACATGCGCCTCCCTCAACCGCTCCAGCCGCAGCCGGAACCCCTCGTCGATGCCGTGCTCTCCCAGAGCTGGTATGAACTCGGGCTCCCGGCGGTTGGTGTCCTCGATCAGGGCTTCGATCTCTTCGGCTGTGCGCGGCTGGCGGGCAGTCGGCTCTAGTGGCAGCGGGGCGCCGAGCAAGGGGTCGAGGGGATCGTGTGTGGGGGCGGGGGATTGCGGCTCGTCGACGAGCATCATTGTCGAGCTGCCGATAAGCACGGCCCGTGGGTTCTGGATCTGTCCCCCGTCCCGCTGCACGTGGGTTTGGCCGTGCGTGAAACGGCCGCGGGGGGCAGGGGCAGGCTGTGCGGGCTGGTTGATCTGGGGCGCCTGGACCTGAGGGACTTCCTGTGCAGGGACCTGAGGGGCGTTCTGCGGCTCGACCTGAGGCGCGGCCTGGGGAGCGACCTGCGGGTCGTCGAGGGTGTACAGACTCTCGTCGTCGTCGTCGTCTATCTCCATCTGGTCATCCACAGGCTCCACGCGCTGCTTTTTCACCCGGCCGTTGTTGTGCTGGACGTTCGTGGGAACGTTGTTGTCCTCATGCCGGGCTGCGGCACGCTGCTCCTCGGCCCTGCCACTATCACGCTGCTGCTGGCCATCAACCGGGCCGCTCGTGAACCTGCCGCGGCGATCACGCACCAGAGGTTGCTCGCGCTGCGGAGCCGGCTCGACGGGTCTCGGGCCCGGGAGGAAGTGGCCCTTGTGGTCACGCTCCAGCTTAGTCTTCTTGCGGTGTGTGGAGGGGCGACGATCGACCTTGGTCTGAGTGGCGGGCGCCGGGGTAGGTGTGGGGGCGGGCTGGGGCGCAGGCTCGGGCGGAGGCGGAATCGACGGTGGAGGCGCATAGTCAGTTCGAGGTGCAGCAGGCACAGGGCCGTCTTGCGTCAGCACCATTTTCTTATTCAGAGGGTCATTGAGGTAGGTGTTCGGGTCGTTCAGACCCAGGGCCTCCATCTCAGCCTCCATCCCATCTGCCATCTGCACGTCTCCATCCCGATCTTTCCTGTGCTCCTGCTCAGCACTGCCTCGCTCAGCCGCGCCCTGCTCAACCGTAGGCTCAGGCTGTGGGGGTTTGAAACCCATCGCCTCCAACCTAACGGCAAACCTCTCGGCAAAGGTCATAACCCTATGGCGGTCTTGCCTGTAAGTCTGCTTAACAGCGCGTTGCACAGCATGACCTTGCTCAACAAGAGCTTCCTCAGGAGCGCTCAGGCGACGCAGCTGCGGAGGTCTCAGTCCTAACGCATCCAACCTCGCCGCCATCCTGTCGGCAAAGGTCACATCCCCATCGCGGGCTTGCCTGTGAGTCTGCTTGGCAGTGCCTTGCACAGCTGAGTCCTGCTCAACCGTAGGCGCAGCCTGCGAAGGCTCGGGCTCCAACGCCTTACGACGCGCCTCAGAAAGGCGCCGTGCCAGCGGCTCCTTCTTCTTGCGGTTCTCTTCGCCGCGTTGGGACGGGCGGCGGCGGATCGTCTCGGGGATCTCGTCTAGAAGGCGATCGGGGGGGTGGCGGTCGCGGCCGGAGCGCCGAGCGTTGTTGTTGTTGGTGCCCGTGGGGGCGGCGCCGGAAGGCGTGTTCGTGTTGCTCATGTTTGTGTTTTTCGGGTTGTCCGAGGGCATGAGCGTGTGTTCTGTGTGTTCTTGTGCTTTTTCTATGGGCAGGATATGGGCGTTTGATGCGTGTGCTTATATACGGGAGGGAGGGGGGCGTTGTGTCCGGACATCGCTTGTGGTGTTAATGGATAATGTGAAATGTTTTGTAACTATGCGTGTTAAGAGCGTGTGTGTAGGGCGAAGTTGTGGCATAGTTTGTATTGTTTGGAGATAAATTTGTATATATTGTACAATGCGTGGTGGGTATACCTAAGCGCCACTATCTAGTTCACCTAAAGATGGGAGCACTTACTCTTTCCCTGGTCGTATATATAGATAAAATATTATTTATAGTTAAACAGACACTCATCACATGTTGAGTATTTAGAATAGTCTAGTAGAGAACATTAAGTGATTGGTACCTTCTATCAGGGGATTTTTATGAACTTCTAATACTTTTGCCAAGTACGGGATTGCCTTATTTCTTTTTAAAAAGGTCTTGGTTAACTAAATGCAAACCAATCCCGAACGCGCCTGTATACGCAGGTACGCCCCGTTATACAAAGAATGTCTTACGCTCATGTCTCAATGGGAACATAAGGACTTATATAATAGTTTATCCAAATGGGCTTTCGCTATCCCACCAATATTTTATACACGAGTGCAGACCACCCTACCCGCTACGCAACATTGTTCCTATATATAACCGTCCTTCACCGACGATGTGATCAACATGCATTTAAAGTACACTTGTTCATATACAGCTTTCCAAATCCGAACATAGGCGCCGTATATTTGTACCACCCTTACGAGTATCGCGTACCAACACCATCAGAAGGGAACGTAACAACTAGCGCTCCCAGGGACCTAAATCCGGCGCCAAACGAACCGGCACAGCCAGCTTATCTACCCCCCCAACTT